ACCAGTGTTGTGTTGTGAACATACCAGGGTAGTGTTGTGAACATACTAGGGTAGTGTTATGAACATACTAGGGTGGTGTTGTGAACATACTAGAGTGGTGTTGTGAACATACTAGGGTAGTGTCGTGAACATACCAGGGTAGTGTCGTGAACATACCAGGGTAGTGTTGTGAACATACTAGGGTGGTGTTGTGAAGATACAAGGGTAGTGTTGTGAACATACTAGGGTGGTATTGTGAACATACTAGGGTGGTGTTGTGAACATACTAGGGAGGCGTTGTGAACATACTAGGGTAGTGCCGTGAACATACATTGTTGTTTAACGCCACACTATATTTCAGCAATATTCCAGCTACTTGATCGCGGTCCCGTTAATCGCCTCCAACAACAAACATTGGTTTCGAAGACCATTTCTAAATCGGATGTTGGACCGATCAGTTGGCTGAAGTTTCCCATAGCAATGAATTTACATCAAATTTTATAGTTAATTAGTGATTTATAAGAATATTTAATAGGGATAAATGTCCAAACAGCCACGTGATACCTGTTTTCTATGAGTCAAAATTGTGAACGCACACAGGGCGTCAGGGATACTCACAGTTGGGGACGCTACAGGTCTGCTAATGTCCCCAAACCTGGATAAGAAACAAAACGTGTACGTCAATAACCTGTACATGCCAACGGGAACTGTTTCGTTATCATGGCGGTTGTTTAAAATATCCATCAAAGGGCCCACCTGTCAAACTTATCTGCCCAGGTTAGGGATAATGAATGCAGATGAGTGTGTATACACATCTGCTGTCAGCTGTTGCAGAACAGAATATAGGCGGAGTCTGAGGGACTAGCATGAACCTGAACACTGACTTGCATGGAACCATTACTGCTCTCGAGTCAGCATTGGGCCGACACGGAGGAAAGAGTATCTCAAGGGTCAGGTGAGGTAGAGCAAGATGGATTCTTGCTTCAAACTATGTTTGTTGGATGGACAACAGTTGTGCGACCTTGTACTGCATCGAGCAGTTTCATGAATCAATCGTTTCTGTTGTAAAATGCGTAGCTCGAGCTCGCTTGGGCGACCTGGTCACATGCAACAGGTGATTGGGCCTCTCCAGCTGTGTACTCTCTGGGGCCAGGTTCACAAGGCGGTGGTCAGCGTATGTTAGCGTTTGTTGAGGTTTTGTCTTTCCGAAAGTCGCAGTGCTGCGATCGTGCTGTCGAACGAGATCATAGTTGAATGCTAAGCTGGGCGTCACGTTAAATCTGTCAATTGTATTGATTATTGTATGTCATCTGCACATGTGAGTGAGTAAGATGAGTTGTCCGTGTTCGTGTCGGCTTCATATTTGAGGCGAGCCCCAAGTTTTGCATTTTTTTAGAGTTTTAAAGTTACAGCAATGATAGTTTGCCCATGTGATGTTATATTTATACATTTAAGGAAAGAACAAGAGATTTGTTTATGCAAGAATGGTCAGATTGTATATATTTTTCACCAAGGCTAGATTTATATTGCACCTACAAATCCTTACTACAACCTGAAAAATATCTATCATCGATTAAGACTGTAAATTTAAGAAGATCTTTACCATGACTTTGCTGACAGTCTATGCGATTTCTGTAAAGAAGACTTAGATGATGGACCTGTGAAGATCCGGGGTAGAATATGCCTTCAGCAACCCATGCTTGCCGTGAAAGGCGACTATGCTTGTCGTTTGAGGCGACTAACGGGATCGGATGATCAGGCTCGCTGACTTGGTTGATGCATGTCATCGATCCCAATTGCTTGGATCGATGCTCATGATATCAATCACTTGATTATCTGGTTCAGACTCGATTATTTACAAACCGCCGTCCTATAGCTGGAATATTGCAAACCAACCAACCAACCTTAATGATGAATACCAAGCAGTATTTATATGTCCAGCTTAAACTAACTTAAGGTTAAGGTATTTGCCCTCGTATTATTATCAATATCCTACCATGCACAAGATTGTATTGGCACCCACAACAAATGACGACAGTATTATATTTCAGAAAGCACGTTATATTGAAAAAATTCTGAAATTCCAAAGCCAATATAAACTGAAGCGCACTGTCACAATATGTGAAATATTATCCAATCATTTGTACTATTGGCCTCATAGCCAGACTATACCAAATAAATTAAGTTCTGTTGTAAATGTTTTGGAATATTACAGTAGAAGCAATGATAGTGTGGTGTTTGATGGCATTGCACTAGAAGCAATGTTATTGTGTGTGTTTTGCAGAATTACAGTTGATGCAATATCATTTTTGAATCTTTGCGTATTACAGCAGATGTAATTCGTTGAAGGTGTTTTGCGGTATTCCAGAAGATGAAACGGTATTGTGAATCTGTGCGGTACTGCTATTGTGTGTTTTGCGGTATTACAGTTAAAGCACGACTATTGTGTGTTTTGCGGTAGGTATTACAGTTGAAACACTACTCTAGTGTGTGTTTTGCGGTATTACAGTTAACGCACTACTATAGTGTGTTGTGCGGTTGATGCACTACTGTATATGCTGTGGTATCGTGGGAGATTTGCGGTATTACAGTTAACGCACTACCATAGTGTGTTGTGCGGTTGATGCACTACTGTATATGCTGTGGTATCGTGGGAGATTTGCGGTATTACAGTTAACGCACTACTATAGTGTGTTGTGCGGTTGATGCACTACTGTACATGCTGTGGTATCGTGGGAGATTTGCGGTATTACAGTTAACGCACTACTATAGTGTGTTGTGCGGTTGATGCACTACTGTATATACTGTGGTATCGTGGGAGATTTGCGGTATTATAGTTAACGCACTACTATAGTGTGTTGTGCGGTTGATGCACTACTGTATATGCTGTGGTATCGTGGGAGATTTGCGGTATTACAGTTAACGCACTACTATAGTGTGTTGTGCGGTTGATGCACTTCTGTATATGCTGTGGAATCGTGGGAGATTTGCGGTATTACAGTTAACGCACTACTATAGTGTGTTGTGCGGTTGATGCACTACTGTATATGCTGTGGTATCGTGGGAGATTTGCGGTATTACAGTTAACGCACTACTATAGTGTGTTGTGCGGTTGATGCACTACTGTATATGCTGTGGTATCGTGGGAGATTTGCGGTATTACAGTTAACGCACTACTATAGTGTGTTGTGCGGTTGATGCACTACTGTATATGCTGTGGTATCGTGGGAGATTTGCGGTATTACAGTTAACGCACTACTATAGTGTGTTGTGCGGTTGATGCACTACTGTATATGCTGTGGTATCGTGGGAGATTTGCGGTATTACAGTTAACGCACTACTATAGTGTGTTGTGCGGTTGATGCACTACTGTATATGCTGTGGTATCGTGGGAGATTTGCGGTATTACAGTTAACGCACTACTATAGTGTGTTGTGCGGTTGATGCACTACTGTATATGCTGTGGTATCGTGGGAGATTTGCGGTATTACAGTTAACGCACTACTATAGTGTGTTGTGCGGTTGATGCACTACTGTATATACTGTGGTATCGTGGGAGATTTGCGGTATTATAGTTAACGCACTACTATAGTGTGTTGTGCGGTTGATGCACTACTGTATATGCTGTGGTATCGTGGGAGATTTGCGGTATTATAGTTAACGCACTACTATAGTGTGTTGTGCGGTTGATGCACTACTGTATATACTGTGGAATCGTGGGAGATTTGCGGTATTATAGTTAACGCACTACTATAGTGTGTTGTGCGGTTGATGCACTACTGTATATGCTGTGGAATCGTGGGAGATTTGCGGTATTATAGTTAACGCACTACTATAGTGTGTTGTGCGGTTGATGCACTACTGTATATGCTGTGGAATCGTGGGAGATATGCGGTATTATAGTAGAATCAATGGCATTGTGAATCTTTTGCGGTATTACTTTTGATGCAATAATATTGCGGTGTTTTTGTAAAAATACAGTTCAACCAATGTTAGTGTAAATCGTTGCGGTTTTCGTTATATATGCAGTGATATTGTGGAACATTTTCGGTATTACAGTCGATGCAATGATATTGTGTGTGTTTAGAATATTATTTAATATGTTTAATATTACAATTGAAGCAATAGCATGGTGAGCATTCTGTGGTCTTGCAGTAGAAGTAATGATATTGTGGGTGTTTTTGAAATATTACAGTTGAAGCAATGTTTGTGTGAATCTGTGGTATCAGTATATGCGTTGGTATTTTGGGACATGTGCAGTATTATAGTAGAAACACGGATATTTTTATAACATTTTATAACATTTAATGCAATGATATTGCGAAACTTTGCGGTATTACATCAGGGGCAATGACATTTTATTATTGTGTGTGGTTTGTAATATCACATTTGAAGCAATGCTAGTGTGAAGATTTTGAAACATTCATGTTGATACAATGATATCGTGGGAATATTACAATATTACAGTCGATGCACCGATACTGTAGGGAATTTGCGATATCATAGTTGAAGCAATATCATGGGTGTTTTCTAATGTCATAGTAGATGCAATAGCATTGTGAATGTTTTCAGTATTACAGTAGATACAAATTAATGATATTGTGAGCGTTTGGTTTTGAGTTTAAGCAACGATGTTGTAAATCGTTGTGGTATTACCGAAGGTGCAATGCTATTGTAGGTATTGCAGTCCCCTCTAGACTAAACACTAGTTTTCTGTATTGCAGCCACCTCTAGACTTGACACTAGTGTCCTGTATTGCAGTCCCCTCTAGACTTAACACTATTTTTCTGTATTGCAGTCACCTCTAGACATGACACGAGTTTTTTGTATTGCAGTCACCTCGAGACATGACACTAGTTTTCTGTATTGCAGTCACCTCTAGAGTTAACACTATTTTTCTGTATTGCAGTCACCTCTAGACATGACACTAGTTTTCTGTATTGCAGTCACCTCTAGACTTAACACTAATTTTCTGTATTGCCATCACCTCTAGACTTACAACTAGTTTTCTTTATTTTCAGACGATGAAGGGAGATGGAAAATACCGCTATCGCATTTCACCTCCAAGAAACACGGTGTGGACGACAAACTCCAGAACAAGCGGATCAGGTAAATTTCACATACAACGCATCTTAAAATATTGGACTATTGATTAAAACTAGTTCGTTTCCTGAAGAAATATAGTTTTATACCCACTGTAAAAGAAAACTGAATACTTACGTACTGATGGAACGAAATGCAGGAACAGAATCATGTGTTCGATATGTGTCTCAAATGTGTCTTGTTGACAATTTTGAATGAGACAGGTTCTATCATATTGCTCAGTGACGCATTGTCCTTATATGGACTATTTTAATGCCACGTGTTCCTTTATTTCTCTGGATAAACATATTACAATACAGTGTGCATTTGTATTGAGTAGAATTCATGTCAAGCTTGGGCGGTTGGGTCGCCTTATGGTTAAAGCTTTCGCTAGTCGCGCCGAAGACCCGGGTTCGATTTCCGACATGTGTACAATGTGTGAAGCCCATTTCTGGTGTCCCCCGCCGTGATATTGCTGGAATATTGCTAAAAGCGGCGTAAAACCATACTCACTCATGTCAAGCTTCTGATCCAGCCGGGGCGGTCGGGCAGCCTAGTGGTTAAAGCGTTCGCTCGTCACGCCGAAGACCCGGGTTCGATTTCCGACATGTGTACAATGTGTGAAGCCCATTTCTGGTGTCCCCCGTCGCGATATTGCTGGAATATTGCTATAAGTGGCGTAAAACCATACTCACTCATGTCAAGCTTCTGATCCAGCCAGTCGCTGTGATACAGTGAGGCGTCATGAGTACAGTTGGTGCACACGCGGGTCCCAGGTTATATCTACCCAATTTCACTCACGTAACGTCACTTCCCATGTGTCCAGGTCCTACTACAAGGCGCAGGACCGACTGATCGAGTCGTTCGAGGAGCTGCAGTTGGAGATTAATGATGCCATGCTTGACTCCAATGATGTCAATGTGCTCCAGAAGAAGGCGTTGTTTTACGCCCGACTGACGTTTGGTGTCAACTGTGTAAGTGCATCCATGCTGGAAACCAATAGGTTCCACCAAGCATATTCTGCCAGCTAAGAATTACATGATGTTTGTCGTAAAATGGGGTATTGATTATGCTATCAACCAATGGTTTCTCAGCGGTGGTGAAGATGTAACATTGTTGACTTTCACGTAAAACAACATTTATTCGCGTGATCTATAAGAAACAGGGGCGGTCGGATAGCCTTGTGGTGAAAGTGTTCGCTCGTCACCCAGAAGACCCGGGTTTGATTCCCGACATGGGTACAATGTGTGAAGCCCATTTCTGGTGTCCCCAACCGTGATATCGCTGGATTATTGCGAAAAGCGGCGTAAAACCATAATCACTCACTCAATATCAGAAATATTTCTGTCTGCGGCATGATAACTGTGTTATTGCTGACTCCGGTCTGATGCATATGTAACAATGCTGACTATGTGTCGTATTGATGGGGATGGCGTAATACAACTGTAATGTAGGGCATCGGCCCTGTGATTAGTTTATAATTTTGCTGACTGTTACTTCAGGTGGCCATTAGGGCGGTGGGGTAGCCTTGTGGTAAAAGCGTTCGCTCGTCACGCAGAAGACCCGGGTTCGATTCCCCACATGGGTATCATATGTGAAGCCCATTTCTAGTGTCCCCCGCCGTGATATTGCTGGAATATTGCTAAAAACGGCGTAAAATCCAACTACCTCAGTCAGGTAGCCATGGCAGTGATATAACTGTTTTATTGTCACCACAATGTAACACGCTTCACATCACCATGTTACTGATTGCATGGAAACAGCCATCTTCCCGGGGCAAGAGAGTTAACTGACACGCAAGGGTGGAAACTGGACTTTTATAGTCAGTTAACTCACTTGCCTCTGGAAGATGGGAAACAACATCCACCTCGCCACTTTGCTGACGTATTGTAATAGCGTTCACCTCGCCTTGTTGCTGCTTACATTGTGATGGTGTTAAAATCGCCATGTTGCAGCTACTTCTCATAGCGAAAGCAGTGGCCAGCACCCTCTCTGGCTCCATTGCCATAATCTCCAGTCTGGTGGACAGCATCGTCGACCTCGCGTCAGGCATCATTCTGTGGTGGGCAACCAAGGCCGTGAAGAAGAGAGACCCCTACATATACCCTCAAGGTGAGACACCCTCAGATGTACCCAAATGTGAGACAACCAATAAAGACACCATATATCAAGCTGAGATATATATACTCTCAAAAATGAGACTTGGCTACATATCTAGCCCCTACACATATACTCAAGGTGAGAGATACCCACATGTACCCCAATGTAAAGCAGTGCTACGTATACCTAAATGTAAGACACCCTTACATGCACCCCAATGTAAGACACGGCTACATATACCCCAATGTAAGACACCCACACATACACCCCAATGTAAGACACCCTTACATACACCCCCATGTAAGACACTGCTACATGCACCCCATGTAAGACAATGCTACATGCACCCTAATGTGAGACACCCTTACATACACTCACCTTCCTAATTGATCTAAATATTTCCTTACTGAAATTACTTATTAAACCCATCCCCTACCCACACAAGGCAACCCCGCTCACCCCCTCCACACAACCCAACCTGCCCCTAATCACGCTCACCCCCTCCACACAACCCCCTCCACACAACCCCAACCTGCCCCTCACTCCCTCCATACAACCCCAACTTGCCCCTCACCCCCTCCACACAACCTCAACCTGCCCCTAATCACGCTCACCCCCTCCACACAACCCCCTCCACACAACCCCAACCTGCCCCTCACTCCCTCCATACAACCCCAACTTGCCCCTCACCCCCTCCACACAACCTCAACCTGCCCCTAATCACGCTCACCCCCTCCACACAACCCCCTCCACACAACCCCAACCTGCCCCTCACCCCCTCCACACAACCTCAACCTGCCCCTAATCAGACTCACCCCTTACACACAACCCCAACCTGCCCCTCACCCCGCTCACCCCCTCCACACAACCCCAACCTGCCCCTAATCACGCTCACCCCCTCTACACAACCTCAACCTGTCCCTAATCACGCTCACCCCCTCCACACAACCCCAACCTGCCCCTAATCACGCTCACCCCCTCTACACAACCTCAACCTGCCCCTAATCACGCTCACCCCCTCCACACAACCTCAACCTGCCCCTCACCCCGCTCACCCCCTACACACAACCCTAACCTGCCCCTAATCACGCTCACGTCCTACAACAGATTTAGGGAAGGGCTGCTACTGGCATACATTAGCCTAATTACTTGTAAATTTGTTTATTTCACAAAGGACTGTCGGCATTCATTTCACTATCAGGTCAGCATGCGCTGGTGGTGGAACTATTTCTGTTGAAATTCAACCACGTGATGTTTTGTGCAGTGACCTTGTTCTGGAATCTTGTAAAATCATTCAAATGTTTATTATTATATTCAGGAATGATCTTGAATGTCAAGCATATGCATTACAGTTGTGTGTTATCAAGTGCAGTGGGATAAAATGTCGAAAAGGGATAGAAGGTTGAGAGTCTTTTAGGCATTTAGAAGTTGGGTGTAACCATGACAAGGAGTTGTGTTGTGGATAATATACAAGTTGTCATCCATAATAATTCTCCTTGTCATAAATAGAAAGTTTTTTTTCAGAATACAGTCTTTTCAGCGGAATTACATTTAGAAATGTCATAAACTGAATATATTTGACTGACTTCATGTATAATCTAATCGGAATGTTACTGTGAGCATAAAATTCAATTCGAATTGCGTATTCTTGTGAAAAGAATGAAAAGGCGAGTAAAGGCAGCAAATATATAAAAAAAACAAAAAACACTCAACATGCAGAAAGTTTTTTTCATTTTTGAACTTTCAGGTCGGACAAAGCTGGAGCCTGTCGCCATCACCATCCTCTCCGTGCTAATGGCGGCCGCCTCCCTCCAACTGACTCGAGAGTCCATAACGAAGATCATCTCAATCTCCTCTGGGACGGCCGGACTTCCAGTAGTCGATATCCCCGTCTTCGCCATCGCTGGAGGAACCGTTGGTAGGTCGTTGGTGACGATGGTTAAAGAGGCACTACACTACATGTTTCCTCTCCAAGCACCGATCTTACTGTCTGTAGTCTGTTGTTGGTAAACATTTTACCAATCTGTGTTGTAGGTACCAATCTTACCGATTTGGGCTGTAGGTACCAAGTTTACCAATCTGTGTTGAAAGTGCTGAATTTACCATTCGCTGTTGTCCAAATTGATCGATCTGTGTTGAGGTACCAATTTTACCAGTCTGTATTGTTGATACCAAGTTTACAAATGTGTATTGTTGGTAACACGGTTAACTGTCTGTGTTCTTGGTATGAGGTTAAGATGTCAGTCTGGGTCTGTATTTTTGGTTTAAAGTTTAACTGTCTGTATTGTAGGTGCTAAGTTGGTGCTGTGGTTGCTATGCCGACGTATCCCGTCACCTTCGGTACAGACCCTGGCACTTGATCATAGGAACGACGTGTGCTCCAACGCCGTAGCCATCGCATGCGGCTATGTGGGTACGTGCTGCTGATTCTTCTGGCCCAGTTGGATGACACACGTCATCAGAACCATAAATCTTACGATCAAATGAGAAGACGTCAAGAAGTCATGTCCAATCAAATTACATTGTGTGCGAGAGCAAATTTTTAAACACTATGCATTTCTCTTTCTTCTTTCAACCATTGGCGAAAACGAGTCGGAAACAAAGGTGTAAGGTTTCTGATAAGAGATGGTGATGAAGGCATTACTATCTAAACGGATCCGGGGTAGAAAAGGTGGAATAGGTCTTCAGCAACCTATGCTTGCTGTAGGCGACTGTGCTTGTCGTTAAAAGGCGACCAACTGGATCGGGTGGACAGGCTACCTGACTTGGTTGATACATGTCATCGATCCCAATTGCGTCGATGGATGCCCATGATGTCAGACACTGGATTGTCTGGTCCAGACTCGTTTATTTACAGATCGCCGTCACACAGCTGGAATATTGCCGAATACGGCGTTAAACAACAAACAAAGAAACTATGCAAACGTAGTTATGGTAACGAAAATCATTTTCGTATAATGACCCAGACTCTCTAGTAATTTGTTCTCAGGGCCACTTTTGCCCCGCGTCAATCACTGGATTGTCTGGCCGAGACTCGATTATTTACAGACCGCCGTCATATGGCTGGAATATTGCTGAGTGCGGCGTTAAACAACAAACAAACAAACAAACAAAAACTAAACGTGTGCCCCGCAAATCCAACAAGGTGAGATATCTGAAACACAAGGGCAATCATGTTATAAGCATGTTGTCATGAATGAATCCCATGAGGACACTGACATAGATCTGGTCCCAAGTACCTCACGCTAAAAGGCAACTTAAATGGACAGGATGGTCAGGCCCTGTGAATTGTCTTGCTTGTCATCCTACCTTGACGGCATGGATCAGCGGTAGCGCGTTCTGGTGCTGCAATGTTGTTTGCCTATCAAGATTCGATTAGCTCATTTAGCTGGAATTTTGTTGACTGTGGCAGTAAACGACATTCACTCACAATTTCTAGATACCAGTGTAAGCGGTAATGTGGTCTGTGATCTGTGATAGGTGTCCCATGCAACGTATCTCGGTTTTAGAATAAATGGAAACATCTCCCCCAATCTGAATTGCAGGGTCGATCGAGATGAAAAAGCTGACTGGCATATCAGGCCTGAGCTACGTGGATCCCGCCGGCGCCATCCTCATCAGCTTGTACATCGTCTACAACTGGTGGCAGACTGGGGCAGGTAACGTGTACTTGGGAGTATGAGTGAGTTGGTTGAATGTCTCTTTTTACGGTATTCCAGTTCTATTAGGGCATGTCAGCTTACTGTGAGGAGAAAAGCCTCGAGCACCGGTATGCTGACAAACCAAGAAATTTGGGCAAATCAGTATTCAAAGCCACCGTCTTAAATCTCTGGCGTGCCTAAATGACGCAACTGTGCACATTGAATTGCGGCAACAAAGATGACCAGTGCCTCCGTGTTTGGAGGACCGTGAGTCCCTAAATGAGTTGAGCAGTATTCCAGTTTTAGCGAACACTTTAGTGAGTAAGTGAGTACTGTTTTACGCCGCTTTTAGCAATATTCCACCAATATCACGTCGGGGGACACCAGAAATGGGCTTCACATATTGTACCCATGTGGGGAATCTCACCCGGGCCTTCGGCGTGACGAGCGAACGGTTTAACCACTAGGGTACTCACGGAAATGAAAAAAACCCTGTTTTTTCGACCTCGGATCTTAAATAAATGCAGTTAATATACAAAATATGTAAATATTCAAACAACTAAATTAGTACTAATTGGGCCGTGGCACAAATACAGCGTATCAAATGTTTTTATGCCTTTTTACACGTAAAAGTGTGTAAAAATGTGAATAAAACAGACTATTGTGAAACAGGGCATAACCAGGTGTAAGTAGATCAAGGTGACCTATGACACCTTGACGACAGGTGAGAACAGGTGCATAATGCCTATAGTCTGTTTCTGCTATGTCAATTTGGACTTAGTTTTATTTTTGAATGTTGAAAGTGCCGACAAATTACCTCCTGTAAAGTACATTGTGTATTGTTCACTGAGATCAAACTAGCAAATCCAGACTAGTACTTTTCGAGTTGTTTTGTTATTTCGTATTTACAGCTACGTAACACTTTGTGTCGATTTTAAAATTGAGAAAAACAGGGTTTTTTTCATTTCCTTGAGTACTTAGGCTACCCCACCATCCCAGCGAACACTCGAACTATAGACTATGACAGAGGTAGATGCAACCTTTGGTACTGTGTGTTTCAGAGCAAATCCGACTTCTGACAGGCTACACGGCTCGGCCGGAGTTTCTCAGCAAGTTGACATGGATATGCGTAAACCACCATAAAAAGATACTGCACATCGATACAGTGAGTGGACCAGCTACCAACACAAACATAATTATTTTTTTTAAATGGTTTTTTATTTATGAAAACAATGACAACAATATTATCACATGGAGTATGCCTTGTTCATTGCAATACAACAAAAGTATCACGATTATTGATTATTGAGAACGCATTCCTGACAAGCCAGTGTTTTATATATCCATTCTATTATGATAAATATCCTCGTTCCAAAGGCCACTTTTTATTAATTGAGCCAGTGAGTGTATTTTGACAAGGCTGTGTTTCATAATATACAGTTCAACATTTGATCGGGATACTGATATACAGTAACCTAGGTTATAACGAACTCAGAGGGGCCACTAATTTTAGTTCGTTATAACCGTAGTTCATTATAAGGATATATACAGCAAATGCCCTGGACAAAAAAAACAGTGTTATATCCGTCAGTTCGTTATAAGCGTGTTCGTTATGAAAGTAGTTTACTGTAGTGTTTATTCAACTTGAAATAAAGCTGCCCATGCGTCATTCACATGGCAAATTGTAAGACTGTTCGAATAAAACAAATCCAAGCAATCAGTCACATTCAGATCCCACCTGGATACCCAAATCCCTATCAAATGTTGGGCAGTATAGAATGGAAATGTAGGGCACAGATTAATTAGGATGTTGACAATAAACATGGCTGTTTTCCAGGTGAGGGCGTTCCATTTTGGCAACAACTTCTTGGTCGAGGTTGACATCGTGCTTCCGGAAGCGATGTCCATGAAGGAGGCTCACGACATCGGCGAGCCGTTGCAGCTGAAGTTGGAGGCGTTGCCGGAAGTGGAGAGAGCGTTCGTCCACTTAGACTACGAATATACACACAATCCGAAATCTGAACACAAGATCGTATGAGTAAAAGAATAATGGGTTGAGTGAGACAATGTAATCTATTACGCACAACTCTATTTAGAGGAATGATGATGCTTTGTGATTGTGAAACATTTATATCTGATACGCCTCCAATACGATACAACTCCAAACAGTGAATTCTGGCGCCTAAGACAACAGGGCCACTTTTGCAACCCCCCTCCCTCAAGACGAAATGGGGGTATGAGAGGGCAGAGATGAATGTCTCCACTACAGATAACCCGGGTTTTACTCAGAAAATAGGGAATGAGATGAATTAATGAAAAAAAACCTTGAACTCTGAACAAATAAAAAACGAGACAAAGCGTTCACATTTCAAGACTGGAGTCTACACCCCACATGCTCAGTGAAACCTTGTTTAACTGGACTTACCGTGGTCAGTGAAATCGCAAAAGAAATATGGACGTTACCGTTCTAAGTGAAATCTCAATAAGCAAGAACATCACCTTTCCCAGTGACATTGTCAAGGCACAAGGACTATACATTCCCAGTGAAATTGTCGCAAGGATGTAAAAGTAAAAGCTGATATAAAAATGTTAAAACGTGTGTATATGATATGTTTGAATGCAAATTTGGCGTGTGCCAAAGATGTATATTGAGTTTTATTTTCCTTTTGCATAAATGAATTAGTATCGGAAATCCATAAAGGGTATTCAATTACATCCAGATGTTGTTCAACTCATTCTTATATTATTTGCAGATGATATTATCATGTTCTCAACCGCCACCGGGGACTTTCAAATGCAAATTTATGATCCAGGAAACTACTGTGATAAATTTAAACTCACTAAAGATATTTTCATAAAAAAAAACAATGAAAAATGGCCCTTTGATGGTTTATAATTGAAGAATATACAAATCCTTGGTTACATGAATTACAAGTAATTTTTATACGATATCGAAAAAGGTCACTTTAATGCATGTAAAATGGTGTAAAAACCGACACATCTTGCGCAATGGTTTATGTGGCTGAGTTCCTCAGATTGTCACAGCTAAATGTACTGACTGAAACTGCTTAACATGAATTCATCAAGATTCACCTGAGAAATTTTACAGTATGATGATCTTATGTGATACCAATGGAAAGAATAACTGGGTAACTTATGTGAAAATATATGTTATTCAATAGTGGTTTGGGAAATGTTTGGTATGTACAATCTGAAAGTGTATTTATCAATTCTTTTCTACAGAGGGTAAACATATTTATACACAATCATGGTCAGTTTTGTTGACATTATCGGACACATTTTTATTGAATGTTGAACAGTATCTGGTTGATGTAAATAGAAAGAATTCATTTTTCATCCCATGATTTATGCATCAAGAGAGGGCGATATACAAAAACTCCAAGGTCAGAACCATTATGTAAAAGGTGTACTAGCCAAGACAGAGGATGAATATCATGTTTTACTTGTATGTCCATTGTACTACACTGAGAGAAAAATACCTTCATGTACACTACTTTTATGATTCAAATATTGTGAAATTCCGGCATGTCAAGGTACATTAATAATACAAAACATGGCCATGTAGAAATACCACGCACTGTTTCGATAAAACCAAATTTGCAAATAGTTTATATTGTGTGCAACAACTGTCTGTACTGAAGGCCTTGAATAAAGATTGATTGACACGCATAAAGCCTCATACAACTGCCATTTTGACTACCTGATACCAAATTACAGTTTGTAAGACTTGATAAGTGATGACACATTTTGATGTAAACCGATATTTTGGGCTTCTTGAGTAAAGCAATCCCAGAGCTGTCATTGGTCTGGATTAAGGCAGAGGTGTCACTTTAAGGTTTTCAATTTCATCCAAGCTCTATTGTTATGTGGCAGTACTTTTATATATTGTAACTGTATTGATGATGAATTAGGACATTACAATAGTGCGTCTGTAGGGTATTTTTGAGCTTTGTCGTGACTTAGACACGGGGTTATATCTCTAGAATTGAATTTGGAACCTCGCCGCATCTATCTACTTGCCTCCTGGAACACTTTTCAACCTACTGTTTCAAAGCAGAAAATCAATCCTGATCATATCTTTAGGAGCAAAATGTCAAATGCACCTTGTGTACATGCTGAGAGGAAGATTTGTTTGGATGAACAGAAAGTACATCAGTTAAACCAGGCTCCGGTTCAATTCCTAGGAAATCAGATAGCCAGTTGGTTATTGTAGCTCCTCATGGGTTGGTCGGTCATGGATTAAGGGAGTACAAGGTGATGATGCTACTTATCTTGATGTTTCAAGTGATCATCACCATACTCATTTCTTCTCTGTACTCTGTCGCTGAACAAAGATCTGAGGACATCCCATTATGGGTCACGTCAGAACAACCTTCCATCTGACAAATCAAAGCGTCGCTTACCAGGCCCCACTTGCACAAAGCAATCTTAGGGCTAAGCGTATGTTAAAGTGTGGGAGTTTTTAATTGAGAACTGTGTCAACATTTCAGTGGTCGGTCTGACGTGACAGGTAATTGGATGTCCTGAGATCTTTGTACCTGTTTGATTAAATGGAGATCTCCAGTCGTTTCTGCTGATCAGTGTAAAGTTTCATTAAATAACCAGAAGCCAGTTATTTTCATCCAGTTCATTTATTTTCATGTCAGCAGGCTGTCAATTTACAGGAGGGAAGCAAGGAAGCAGCTGTATGTGTATTTTGGTCATGTTGTATATTGAGGAATGTTTGAATAAATAAATGAATAAGTTTTTCTTGGTCTAAGGTAATCTTTCAATCAAGCAAACATGATACAAGCATGAATAATTGCTAGCTGTTAATTGCTTTTGCGGGTCTTTCATCATCTCGTGGCATGATCTGATCTATCACTCACTCAGATCTGGGACACCAAACTCAGCAATATTTCAGCTGTGACACACATGGGCTGCGATCACTGCAAAACCCTCAATGGGTGCATTGCATCAAAACACGTTGTAGTGAGCCTGACCACCCGATAAACATGCACACAAGGTAAAGTATTCCACCTCAGGGGTACATGCTCATTCATATTTGTAGTACAATTAATTTGATAGTAGAAAAACAGATGGACAAAAAATTGCATTTGCACTGGCGTATCAAAAGGGGGTTAGTACAAAAACACTGTTGAAAATCAATCTCAAAATCATATCTTAGTTCTCACTGTTGCTAAACAAACATCTGAGGACATCCCATTAGGGGTCACGTCAGAACGACCTTTCATCCGACCATCAGAGCGTCACTTTCTAGATCATGCAACCTCGACACAGGATATTCCGAACGATAGTTACGGGTTTAATGACTGAATTCATACATCTAGACCATCTATTAGCCATTCAAGGATGTTCTTTTGTCAAATTATGTTTCAAAGTGTCGTCGCCAATTTTAAACTAGTGCCGTAAAGCAAGAGAAAGCTGCCTTCTGATTGGCTAATGTCGATTTCTTGTCAGTCCTTCCATTGGTCAAAGTTCCCGCAAGGCCGTCTGACGTGACCCGTAATGGGATGTCCTCAGATCTTTGTTTAGCGGGAGCGAGAACTAAGATCTGATTTTAATGAGATTGTTGAAAAATGTGTCCAACCTTTCAACACAACTACTCATATATCTGTCCAACTTGATCCATGCAACTAGTGTACCTCTCCGGCTCATATCACATAAACTTGTAGAAAAACAAAATATAACCCTTGATAAAATCAGTCTGAACATAATAGTCTGATGGATGACGTAAAATGCACAACAAATTTACATGTAATAAAACGAGCTGTAAACTTAAGACAAATGCATAAACACACACAAAAAGCAGAGTACCAGAGGTACAGAAGCTCACTGTTTTCAGTGATCTAATATAAACAAAAAAAGTTACTGTGCTTCATATAAAGTTCAACAAGCATGAAATACTCATATCCCCCGCCAATATGACATGCCTGGTTGGGTGGAGCACCAGCGCCAATTTCAGTCGTTGCCATGGAAACTCACAACTTGCACATGCTTTTTTAATGTGAACAACACACAATGATTACTTAGCTATCATGTGCTGATAAATACACTTATGCTTATGCTATGCCATGGGCATGCTGCAAACGGGATGGGTGCAGACAATATCAACTTTTTGGAGGCATTATCATGACTTGCCACGGATTGGTCGTCCATGTGTGATGTCACCTCAACAAAACTTATTCGCTTGGTGCAAGTTTGGAATCGATACCAAACTGCCACGGTAACATCTCGGGCAATTCCTAGGTTGAGACCATTAGTGGCACAACATCGGGACCCAGGCATCCAGCAGTTGGCCCTATTTTGCATCCACTTCACTGTCAGGCATGCCTAGCCTGGTGTACACAGCATCTGAGACACACTCTTTCTCAGGTGAGTCTGGGTTTTATCTGGACAGTTCTGATGGTCTGCATCCACTACAAGAACAATGTCCTACCATTTGTGCAAATGCAGGGGGAAAATGTCACGTTGCAGCAGGATAATGCCCGCCAACATTGCTGCTGTACTGCCACGGAAAGGCTGTTTCTCCAGACCTCCCTCCCATAACACATGTCTGGGATGAGATAGAATGACGCCTACAGCAGGACAAGAACCAGCTAGCTCAGTTGGGCCAATCTTTGGTTGACATTTGAAAACAACATCCTCCAGGCTGTCTGTAATGCTGCGTCACCTGTATCAACCCAAATGTTGGTCACACCCGATACTGACATTATTGAGTTCTTAAGGCACCCCAATCCTAGGGCGTTTGGATCAGACGAATGACCAAATATAATGTTGTTACATTCACACCACTTTATACGAAGCAAAGTTACTTTTTTCCCTCAGCATGGTGGTTAGCATAGTTTGTGAAGAGCATACAACAACCATCACAAAGGATATTCAAAAGAATTTGCATCCATCTGAAATAAAATCAACATATATATTCAAATCCATAAGAAAACAAACAATACTTTAGCTTTTAGACAAGTTTCAAGAAGATGTCAGCTGATCTCAACTATATGCCTTGACAGCCAAAACAGACTGGCATACAAATTTCATAACCAATATTTACACAGTTTCTTTCAATGTCATAAGGCCACGTATCATGTTTCCAAACTGAGCTTGTTCATGCATGGTGGAAGCCCCTGGGCTTATTCTGAGAACTTGTTGAAACGTGGAAATAAATCTCAATCGGTAAATCAAAATATGCAAATAAACCTAACCAAAAACCTCTAAAATGATGACAGTTGGTTTAACTAAGTGTACAAAGAATTCTTCAGTTCTCAACACTATTCTACATAACTCCAACATTCATTTGTGATAAGGGCATGAACTACTATAGCTTTGTCACCATCTCCGGGGGTAGGGCTCTTTTGGGGCACACGTTATCAGATTTCAATTAGCGCCACGTGGAGAATCGAACTCATGCTGCCATCTTGAAGCTAAGCTGCACAAAAGAGTTACTGTAATTAGTCAACACTTTACCACAGGACCACTGGTGCTATCACAAATAGATAGTACTCATTTCCCTAACAATCCCCAACAAAGCACCCAATTGTTTATCTTTAGGCGTATGGGTAGTAGCCATTTTCTCCGCAGAACTTGATCAGAATTGGATTTTCCTCAAATTCCATTGGATTAATTGATTAAAATAGATAGCTAATCCATACCCTGACTCACAACTCGCCCCAAGGACTATTAAAGGGAATTTGATTGGCAAGTAGTGCCCAACCCTAAGGAACGTGAAGGGGATCCAAGGGCTAAGGATAGATTTGGGGGAAACCTACCCTAACCTTTACACAATTAACCCAAAGGATCGAAGAGGCACGCAGGAGCTGTGAAGTGAGAACCACAGGAAGTTGCACCTGGTAAACTGAGCTGTTGCCCTATCTCCTTATCTCTCACCACACATGCTCATGAGAGTTATTTCATGGGATGGCTATTTTAGCAACTTGTCATTCGAATCGGACAACAAACTAAGCTGCAGTACCAAATGAATTTGGGCCACAAATAACAGAATGGAGACATAAACCCATTGAATACTAAGTCAGGATTCATTCTCATTCAAACATCTGTATAACAGAAAACATATCATGGTCTGCCTTCAACAAACAAATACAAAACACTTTTAATCTCCTGCATTAACAACAGTAGTGATATATCACCGAATCAGCACATTTGAATATCTATTGAACACAGTTGTAAATCAAACTCCTTAAGCACTAAAATGTGCAACAATATAAAATCAATCAACAAGTAAAAACTGTATTTGTAAGTGACAAGCCTATTGCAACAAAATACAACACTACTACAAGACATCTTCAGGACACAGCATAACCTCTTCATAGTGCTACCTTTATAAGGTCTTCTTGGCTGTTAGGTTAAAAAAAAATTTAAAAAATAGTTTTCAGGCACCGCCCGCATCATCATAAAGTTCGCCGCACATTTCGTTTTTATTTCCATTTTAAAAAAACAACTAATAAAGATCCTTAAATATTCCAAGTCCAACGGAAGTCAAATACTGTATTCCACTATTTTACTCATCAAGGAATACATTGATGTTGGGGGGCCCTTTCCCAGGATGATTGTACACAGTTGTTTATTGATTACACAACTGTTTATTGGTTACATACTAGTTTGAACAAAAAACAAAAAAAACAAAAAAATTCACCGCCTGCCCGCACTATATTTTCAAAAACCACTGCCTGAGTACCAATTCACACCCATCAACCTACAACTGCTTTGGCGGTTGTGACTTATCGTCGGAGTCATTTTGGAGCAAGATAGTGGTTGGTAGCTAGAATACTGATAATGAATTCTTCTAACAACCCACCACTAACAGAGTATTACAACTGGGCGAATCTGGACTGCACCAAAATATCTACTGGAAAACATTAGCATTACAAAGTGGTTCTACTGTGTCTCAAATATCAAATAATATAAGTCTCAGCACCTAAAAAGAAGCAAACAGTAATCACTCTTCCTTGTCATGTTTGGTTAGAAGTAACCAAATGTTTGGTCTGCTGGGTCCGGTGCTACCAGTTCCACACCAGCTTGCCGTCCGGTGCGAGACTGACTTGTTGTGTGGCTACCATCTCCAAAGCCTGGGGGAATGCCTTGTGCTCTCTCCGCTTCACCCGCTCCGCTAGACTTGTCTCAGTGTCACCAGGATACACTGGCACCGATTCCTGGACCAGGATAGATCCAGCGTCTACCTCCTCCTGAAATAGGGTTTGTTTGTTGGTTTACACCAAAGTCAGGTTTGTTTGTTGTTTAGGACCGCCCTAAGTAATATTCCAGTTATATGATGAGGGTCTGAAAATAATCAAGTCTGGACCAGACATTCCAGTGATTGACATCATGAGCATCTATCTACACAATCTATCTATCAGGGAGCCTGACCACCCAATCCCAATAGTCACCTCTTATGACAAGCATGGGTTCCTCAATATATATTATAAATCTTACAATAATCATGGCAATCCCTAACTAGAAAGTGTTTTTACTCGTAAAAACATATGTCTCCTCCCACTCCCCTAACCCCCATTCATTCGTTTACTTCACGTTAAACCCCATCTGTTCATTCCCACAAAAATAATTCACAATATTTTAATTCTAGAATTGCTTTGAATTCAATAATATTGAAAAGATCAAATTCTTAAATTTCATTATAAGCAAAAGACACAGAAATATTGAAGGGGTGTTGAGTTTAGTTCTTGAACAAAGCCCATCCCAATACCGAGTCTAAGCTAAACTTGTCTCCATAAACAAGAAAAAATAAAATGTGAAAAACTTCTAAGTAGCAAGAAGCACCACTTCAGGACTTGGTTAATATGTTACAACTTCATGAAAAAATATTGAACAGTTTTTGAGTTATGGTCCGGAAACAAAGCTTACCCCCATTCAGAGTCTATGTTCAAGTTATCTCCATGGAAACGAGAAAAAATAAAAATGTCAAAAATCTCTAAATAGCAAAAGGCACCACTTCAGTGCTGGGTTAATGTGAATACAAAGTTTGGCGAAAAAATATTAAACGGTTTCTGAGTTATGGTCCGGAAACGGTGGGAACGCCGACGCCAACGCCGACGCCGACGCCGACGGGAACCGTGCCAAAAACAATATGTCTCCCTCCATTCTGGGGGAGACATAATAATCAAGTTGTGACCACATAAACCAGGGACACATTGACAGCATGTGAGTCATGACCAACGCCATTGGGGTAAGAGCACAATTCCCAATCACAATGTTAGGAGGCAAAATTCAACCCACTACCCTACGTGGTTCTATTCTGACCCAGATCCCCATAGATCAAAGACAGGAACTGTACTCACAGCAACAAAGTGTACGGAGCAGCCGGAGATTCTGACCCCTGCAGCAAGCACCTGCCTGTGGGCATCTGACCCCTTGAAGCTTGGCAGCAGGGAGGGGTGGACATTCAACATGCGCCCAGTCCACTTCCTTACAAATCCACCTGGAACACATACAAGACATACAAGACATGGCAAGACATACAAGACATGTCCTGAAACAAACATCCTGATTGTGACAGTTTGAATTGTGTAAGAATAAAAACGTCTACCACTTTGTGAAAACTTGAGTACATGTATGTACCTTGTGGAGCATCCCCAGCATCTTTCATCCTCCACAGACTTCCATATATTACATTGCTTCATCACCAGGGAATAAGCCAAATTAGGTGTACTTTCTCGCATGAATATTGTGAAAACCTACCTTTCTGAGCCTGACATTAATGCAATGAGAAAAGTAGCGGTATACTCGGACCCCATGGTACCGCAGCATTCATCGTATCGCGGCATTTGTGATTTCCGATAGTTCACGCGGGACACGCCTCTTAGCTGCTGTCTATTAATGCAAATCAGTAACCAGGAAGTGCTCACTTCGTAAACAATTTCAATTTCCTCGGAATGTTCCGTCTGCTGTAAGTAAGGAGTTATTAATCCGTTGATACATATTTCTGGCATCTGTTGTAATATTGCCTTACCCCCATCTATCAATGGCAAACGATATAACCCGCAGTTCCCCAAGTAAACTTTCTCTATCGACCTGAACTAGATCATCTGCATATTCATGGCGACTAATGAGGTAACGGAAGTTACGTAGTCCGCACATTTTTTCCCGCGCTGTGCCCAGAATCTATTGGGAGATCATAAGGGCCATAATGCCAAACTTAGAAATACGTTCTTCACTAGTAACCAAAAGATAAATACATACTTTGGGCATACTAGGAGTGCCTTTTATATATTTATTGTTGACTTTTAACATTTTTCCATTTTGTGACAAATTATTGTCATCCAATTTTTTTTTAACAATCTTAGAATATCATTTCTGATATTTTGATGTTGACTTATACAAATATTTTTCTCTTACTTTTCGGTAAATATGCATTGAATACCTATTGCTGATAACACATTTAGAATTTTACTTGTGCTGTCTTTGCACTTGTCTGGAGAAATCACTGATGTCTGGCATGATCATACCAAGTGGTTGGTAGATTTATGTCCTCTTTTTGTCAAATTCGGACCTCTATAGAGTCTATACACAACTTTTCTCTGTACCGCGATACGATGGAGTTCTCTCCCTTGTCAAACAGAGAGCGAGGCCCGGCTTTTACTCGGAGCTACTGATGTATATAATGAACGTTTATCAGTAAAATATGCATTGTTTGATAAAATAAATGATATCTGATATAGAGAACGCGAATAATCATAAAGGTTAGTGAGTGCATTTTGTTCCGTTTAGCCTACATGACAAGTACCGCGATACCCCGAGGTTGCAGGCTACATAATGCACAAAATAGATTTCCTATAGACGTAAACGTCCTCATAATTCCCTCCAGACATACATTCTCCATGTTCACCTACCTGTACATATCCCCATAATTCCTTTCTGAGTGAGTGAGTAGGGTTTAACGCCACTTTTAGCAATATTCCAGCAATATCACGGCGGGGGACACCAGAAATGGGCTTCACACATTGTACCCATGTCGGGAATCGAACCCGGGTCTTCGGCATGACGAGCAAACGCTTTAACCACAAGGCTACCGGGCTGCCCCAATTCCCTCCAGACATACATTCTCCATGTTCATCTACCTGTAAATATCCCCATAATTCTAGCCAGACATACATTCTCGATGTTCACGTACCTGTGTGTATCCTCATGAATCCAGCGAGACATACAATCTCAACGCCAGCTGCTGTAAGCCCCTGGTGGAGAGCCTCGTCAAACTCCTCACGACCCTTGTAGTCCTTGTGACTGATAACCTGTGTAATGGATGTCTGTCTGTAGGGGGGAGCAATAATAGACACATTGCACTGCAGTAATGAGTCGATCAAGTGTTAAGCTGTTTTAGTTTTTTGTTTTAACTCCCCACTCGACAATAGTCCAGCTGTATGGCATCAGCCTGTAAAAATATTTAGTCTGGATCAGACAATCCAGTGATTGATAACGTGAGCAATGATCCAAGCTGTTGTGGTACAATGACACGCCATCAACATAGTCACCGCACCTGACCACTTGATCTATTTTGTAGCTGCTTTCAGTCAGCAAAGGTTGCTAGGATTAGTCCAGTATGACCAAGAAGTTGGAGGTTTGATTGGTTGCCATCCATTGTTTCAATCCAAAATTTACTCCTGATACAAGTGAGAGTGATTTGTGTTTAAAGCCAAAATAAACAGTATTCAAGTTACAACCTGGGGCATGGGTAGCAGGATTCATCGTAGTGGTAAACTACCTCTTTAAGCTGACACAGTGTCCCACAACTCACTCAAGGCAAAGCATATGTTCCACTGACCTTGGTCTTGATGCCAGCCTTCTCTGCCCTTTCAAGTCCCTGTACTCCTGCCTTGTTAGAAATGACAATGACGATCTCGGCGGCGCTGCTGTTGGTTACGTCGCGGGTGTGGTCCAGCAGAGCCTGCAGGTTTGTGCCTGGAACCAAAGAGAGGCTCTGTATTGACCAAACATCTTCAGAGATGCAGATATTAGTGGGTGTAAAGTAAAATAAATAGAACTGAGGTCTAATTTCTAGTAACTGAGCATCAAGGTCACAACCTGTCTTCACATAACATGCATAACAGAAACAGTTTCAACCAACTCTGCTTCAGTGAATGTGTATGGCTTTTCAGCCCTTTTAATAATTTCCCACTATCTTTACAGCAATATCAAATATAAAAATCTGCAAGAAATTATGGCGGTATTTGTGTCTACAAAATATGAAAAACAAAACAAAAAACAATCACTTATTGCAATACGTTTTGCAAAGAATAAGCAAAATCTGCATCAGAAACTGCTGAAGTAAGAACTGAATCCTTCAGGTGCTGCTAAACAGGCTGATGAATGACCTCACCTGACCCGGAAATGAGGACTCCAACACGCCGTCTCCGCGTCACACCTGGCACCTTCCTCCACGACTGCACCAGACTGTCCTCCAGGTGATCCACCCTCACACGTGTCGTTCCCGCTGAATGATAAACCAGAAATAAACAAGGTACCAGGGATAAAACAGTCACAAAGGCCAAACGTCTTAATGTACAGGAAGAAAAACATATTGTCCCAAAATATTTCCTCATGAACAGCAAAATTCATTCACTGGACACGATGATGTGATAAATGTGTTGTTGGGCCAAAATAGATTGATGCACTAACTGAAACAAAAACTATGAAATACTTGCTCCAACAGACAACGTTTAAACTGAACATGTCTTCAGATCCTCTGCTGTTTACCCTTGAGCTGTCGGACTGTTCCGATGATGTTTGCCTGTTCTCCGGAGGTCCTCAACAAACTGACAACCTCTGCAGACTGTGATGACGTCACAATGAGGACTCCTCCCAATCCACAGTTGAAAGTCCGAGCCATCTCCTGACTGGATATACGGCCCTGGACAGAAGACAAGCAGCTGAAGCCACAGCTAATGCACACAGCCTTAGAAATACATTAGGACGCGACGAAAGGACTAGTGAAAGCCTTATTTCACTAGTCTTCAATGTTTGTATCTTTTCCTGCTTGAGTGAGTGAGTGAGTGAGTTATATTTAAAGTCACATCGGCAATATTGCAGCCATATCGTGACTATCAAGGTTTTATGTTTATAAATACAATTATACTTATATAAAAACCTGCCAACGAAGGACAGTAAAAAGTACTAGACTTATCACAGAAAAAGATTTTAAAACTAGTATGGGATCATAAAAAAGGATAACACTTATACATAACAATAACATGATAAAAACGGGCTATAGATCGCCAGCCCCTGAAGGGAGATCACCACACTGGGGACCATGGGGACTTACAGTACCTTAGCTACCTGCATGGGTCCCAGCAGGATTTACATCATCCCTTCAAGTGGTGGCGATTATTGGCAGAGTTAGCCTTACATCTTAAAATGACACATATTCTACGATTAAAAACACGGTAGTTCTAAATTTACCTTGAAAGAAGTGGAACTTATGTACCCTCTCAGGAGGACAATAATTTTACAGTACTTTAACCCCCCTCGAGGATACAGCCACTAACATTCTCAGTTGCTAATTTAATCTACCGATCATAAAATATTTATATTTCACAAAACACAATCAAAATTTTGCACACAACTCTATTTCTTTTAAAAAACCAATGATTAAACGAGAATCGACACTGCTAAAAAGATCCTTTATAGATGACTTGTCCTGCTTGAACAAGACAAATATGTCAGTATGATTTATTCAGTTCCAAATGTTCAACTGGTTCATAATTAGTCCTCAAATGCTACCAGACGACCACTAGCATAAATTTTGAAGGCAGTGCACACCTTGACCCAAATATTTGATGTGAAGTGAGACCTCATTTGTCCCACAACCTCACGTCTTAAAACGTTTTGTTCATAATGCGGCATTCAGCATTATATCAGCTGCATAACAGCGGTCCATAAATAACAAGAAAACAGCATTATCAGTATCCCCCACCATGAGGCACATTAGAAGTGTGTTTGATCATACAGTAGTGAGCATAAACCATAAAAAAGAGCCCCATTAAGTCTTAAGAAGAGATAGGCACTTGGGTCGCTTTTTGTCATCAGAAAAAAATAATTAAATGTGAAATTAATACACACTAAAGACCCTTTCTCAGGAAAATATAACTCAGTCTTGATAATTATCTCTTAGATAAGCTAACTTCAGTTGTTTCTGAGAAAACTCACAAATAACTCGGATCAAAGGCCGTAACACTGTAAACGATTAATTGATGGCACCAACTTTTGAACTCAGTCTTGAAATTATCTCTTAGATAAGCATGCAAACCTTCATTCATGTAACTTCAGTAGTTTCTGAGAAAAGTTTTGCATACTGTGTGAAATGGGGATAAAATTGAAAATCACTGAGCAAGGGTGAAAACGCTGTAAAAACAGAATTTGTGGCATCACTTTTCGATCTCATTTGAGATAATGACCAGTTACACCATGTTACACCAGAGTGCAAAATTTCATTTCTCCGACTTAAATAGTTTTGGAGAAATTTTTTCCCTTTTGAGAACAAGACAGACAGACGGACGAACTCCGTTCCAATATAATAAAGTCTGGACCACACAATCCAGTGATTGACATCATGAGCACTGACCTAGGCCATTGGGATACGATGACATGTATCAACCAACTCAGCGAGCCTCAACACCCAAACCCATTAGTTGCCTCTAACGACAGGAATGGTTTGCTGAAGACCAATTCTTACCCGGATCTTCATGTTACCTGCACTCACGACATGTTAATTCGAAAATGTAATCCGGACAAATGTCACTGGGGCATTACTTCATGAATAACCACTAGGCTACCCGACAGCCCCTTTACTTGACGAAACACACCATATATGTACATAGTCCAACCATCACATCTTTCAACAGTTAAAGTACTTGTTTAGAACAAAAATAGATTTAAATATTTATAGCCTCCTGCAGTAGTTGTGAAAAATTTACTTGAGATTGAACCTCACGGACCATGTTTGAATACATTTATTTGGCAGGCATAAAGTCCCTGAAAATAAACTGACTCATATGATGAAGCAGCAATTTTCTTCACTATTCTTCCCAATATCGTTGCTCATTTCTTTAACAAAATACAAGCGTTAGAAATTGGCACTAGTCCTGTAATCCTTGCCAAACTGCCCAATAATTAAGGTATCATAAAGGACTAGTAGAAATTTGCCATTTTAAGGGTTTTGCTATATGTTATCATTATAAGGACTAGCGGACTAAAAATGGTAGTTTCTACCTGCGTATACTGTGAAGAAAACACACAAAGATTGGGGTTAGCAATCAACATCAAAACCAGGCATATAAATGATGAGCAGACACTGCTTTGCTGCCTCATCGCCCTCCACATAATTTAACACATGTAGTTTTTACCATCTCAGACAGCCACCCAAATATGGGCAGCATGGTCCAGGACTTGGCATCAAGGGCGACGCCAAGGTCGTTGGGAAGTATCCGGGGGATGTTCTCCGTCAAACCCCCACCGGTGATGTGAGCAAAGGCCTTGACCTTGCCCTCCCTCATGAGCGGTAGCACGCTCTTCACATAGATCTTGGTGGGCGTCAACAAGTCTTCCCCTGAACAGGAAGCAGACAGACATTGAGTATTTGTCAGGTGCTTGTTTTACACTGCAATCACAAAATTGCACGATATAACGGTGGTCTGCAATTATTTCATTCTGGGCAGCCAAACCAGTTTTTGATAGCATGATCAATTCCGAAATCACCAAGGTGCAATGACAGACAATCAGCCTGAGCTGACAACCAGATACCCATTAGAATTGTTTGTTAATGCCACACTCAGCAATATATACCAGCTATATGACGGTGGTCTGGACTTGGAAAATTTAGCATACATTGTATATTGATCATCTTCCCGAGGTAAGAGAGTTAACTGACTTTAAAAGTCCAGTTTCCACCCTTGCCGAACTAGGCTGGAATTCCTGGGCTTGATCGTAGCGCCACCAGTGGCTATTACGAGTTATGTCCTTTCTATGCCTCTCCTATTGACCAATCAGATTCAACCTCTCGTATCACTTGCATTTGTTTCAAACAAAATGGTGGCGCCAAGTCAAGACGATCTGATTGATAATCAAGATCTATATTGTGATCAAACGAGTCTTACATCGCGAAGTGCATGAAATCACGTGAGCACCTATATTAACAACATGAAAAGATTTAGAAAATATCCGTTGACAACGAGTTAGCGGTGCACATGCTTTGCAAATCCTGCAGTCGACCGAAATCTGCATGACACTCTACGAACCGGATTTCGATTTCGGTGCGAGATTTTGATTGGACTATGCATAGACTCGTTAGTCCAGCCAAATTCTAACTCCATAATACCAGCCTGGTTCGGCAAGGGTGGAAACTCGACTTTTATAGTCAGTTAACTCTCTTGCTTCGGGAAGATGTATATTGATATACCTCACACACAATATGCATAATGTGAGATAGGATAAGTTAAAAAATTTGGATATTTTAGTGTAAATTCGGATATTTATATATTTATCCTATCTCACACTATGCATATCACATGTATGATAGGATAAGTTTAGAAATTTGTAAAGACAGTGAGTGATTTCCCTATAGGCCTCAAACAAAATTTTCATTTAGTGCAGAAGTTAATAACTGCAAGAAGCTCACAGAATACACAAACATCCTTTTTTCAGCTGCATACACATCAGCAGACAGCTTTTACACGATTACAAGATGTCCTCTCACCCAAAGTTTTCCCCGTCTTGAGAGGGGAAGGCATGTCGAAACGTAGATTCTTCCTCTCCACAAGTTTCCGAACCAGACTGAAACCATTGCTATGGATACCAGATGACCCAATTCCAACAATGACATCCCCGGCAGCCACTTCATGTATTCGGGGCATCATCTGACCCCGTTCAACGGCACCAACGGCAAAACCAGCAACGTCATACTCTCCGTTAGTGTACATGCCTGGCATCTCGGCCGTCTCTCCGCCTGGTGACAGAGAAAGTGATTATGTTACAGGAAGAGTGAGTTCTTCACATAAAGAACACCCCTCAACAAAAGAGAGACTGCATCAAACTAGTGAGTGAGTGAGTGAGTTGGGTTTAACGCCGCTTTTAACAGTATTCCAGTTATTCCGGCGAGTCAGCTTAATGTGGGAGGAAAGCCCGAAGTGATGCGAGTCTCAGACGTTTACCACTTCGGTGAAACCCACGAGCACGAGTATGGTGCTGACAAACCTAGAAACATAATCGGGGCAAACCGGGATTCGAACCCACAATCATAGGTTTCTGGCGTGCCCAAGGGACGAAACTCTGCACAGCGAATCGCGGCGCCTTAGACAACTGTGCCACCCGTGCCCCCCTGCATCAAACTAATGGAAAATAGAATGAGCAACAGACCAAATACACAACTTAGAAGTTAAACATTACCTGATATTTAATACAGTTAATAATCTATCATGTCAATAACTATAGAAATAGAATCTTATTTTTGTGGTATATTTGGCACCTATGCAGATTGATGCAGTATATTTCAGAAATATGACATGGCACACTAAGACTTGCCTCTTTGTGGACAAACCACATCCTTTACATAAGATCATCAATTATCAAATGATGTAGAACTTGCCTACAAGAGCACATCCTGCCTGGCGACACCCTTCTGCAATGCCCCCTACCACCTCGTGTGCCACCTGCACATCCAGACGTCCTGTTGCGAAGTAGTCAAGAAGGAACAGAGGCTCTGCTCCGTGAGCGAGGATGTCGTTGACACACATGGCCACCAGGTCAATACCAATACTGTTGTGTACACCCACCATCTCCGCTATCTGAAACAACATGGTGACCACCTCACAGAAAATATCCAGAGTCAGACAAGCCTTGGGGTATTCAGGCCATTCCAGGCAAACAGGGGCCTATTCTGACAAAATTTCATACAGTGAGACAAGCATGTGGACCTAATCCGCCCTTGGGTGCTAAGATACTGTGGTCCTATTCTGCAACAGAATCCCTACTGTAACAGAAGCCTAAAAATCATCCATAGTGCAACCATCATCTCTCCTTCAGTTTCGTCTGCCCCTTGTCAGAGCTACACACCAACAACAATCTCATTCCGACTGACTACCCCCATCTCTGTCGGTGCCAGATCACAACCATCTTCCCAAGTGCAAGAGAGTTAACTGACTTTAAAATTCCAGTTTCCACCCTTGGCGAACAAGGCTGGAATTCCTGGGCTCGATTTTAGGGCCACCAGTGGTTATTATGAGTTATGTCCCTTCTGGGCCTCTCCTATGGACCAATCCGATTCAATCACTTTGTTTCAAACAAAATGGCGGCAACCAGTCAAGACGATCTGATCGATAATCAAGATCTATATTGTGATACCCAACCCACTTTCAGCTACGTCCCAACCCTGCCAATGCCAGACACTAGTATAGGGTTCATGTACCTGGCCCACTTTCAGCTACGTCCCCACTCCGTCAGTGCCAGACACTAGTATAGGGTCCATGTACCTGGCCCACTTTCAGCTTTGTCCCCACCCCTTCAGTGCCAGACACTAGTATAGGGTCCATGTACCTGGCCCACTTTCAGCTTTGTCCCCACTCCGTCAGTGCCAGACACTAGTATAAGGTCCATGTACCTGGCCCACTTTCAGCTTTGTCCCCACTCCATCAGTCGAAGACACTAGTATTGGGTCCATGTACCTGGCCCACTTTCAGCTTTGTCCCCACCCTGTCAGTGCCAGACACTAGTATAGGGTTCATGTACCTGGCCCACTTTCAGCTACGTCCCCACTCTGTCAGTGCCAGACACTAGTATAGGGTCCATGTACCTGGCCCACTTTCAGCTACGTCCCCACTCTGTCAGTCCCAGACACTAGTATAGGGTCCATGTACCTGGCCCACTTTCAGCTACGTCCCCACTCCGTCAGTGCCAGACACTAGTATAGGGTCCATGTACCTGGCCCACTTTCAGCTACGTCCCCACTCTGTCAGTGCCAGACACTAGTATTGGGTCCATGTACCTGGCCCACTTTCAGCTTTGTCCCCACTCCATCAGTGCCAGACACTAGTATAGGGTCCATGTACCTTACCCACTTTCAGCCACGTCCCCACTCCGTCAGTGCCAGACACTAGTATTGGGTCCATGTACCTGGCCCACTTTCAGCTTTGTCCCCACCCCTTCAGTGCCAGACACTAGTATTGGGTCCATGTACCTGGCCCACTTTCAGCTTTGTCCCCACTCCGTCAGTCCAAGACACTAGTATAGGGTCCATGTACCTGGCCCACTTTCAGCTACGTCCCCACTCTGTCAGTGCCAGACACTAGTATAGGGTCCATGTACCTGGCCCACTTTCAGCTACGTCCCCACTCTGTCAGTGCCAGACACTAGTATTGGGTCCATGTACCTGGCCCACTTTCAGCTTTGTCCCCACTCCGTCAGTCCAAGACACTAGTATAGGGTCCATGTACCTGGCCCACTTTCAGCTACGTCCCCACTCTGTCAGTGCCAGACACTAGTATAGGGTCCATGTACCTGGCCCACTTTCAGCTACGTCCCCACTCTGTCAGTGCCAGACACTAGTATTGGGTCCATGTACCTGGCCCACTTTCAGCTTTGTCCCCACTCCGTCAGTCCAAGACACTAGTATAGGGTCCATGTACCTGGCCCACTTTCAGCTTTGTCCCCACCCCTTCAGTGCCAGACACTAGTATAGGGTCCATGTACCTGGCCCACTTTCAGCTTTGTCCCCACCCCGTCAGTCCAAGACACTAGTATAGGGTCCATGTACCTGGCCCACTTTCAGCTTTGTCCCCACCCCTTCAGTGCCAGACACTAGTATAGGGTCCATGTACCTGGCCCACTTTCAGCTACGTCCCCACTCCGTCAGTGCCAGACACTAGTATTGGGTCCATGTACCTGGCCCACTTTCAGCCTTGTCCCCACCCCTTCAGTGCCAGACACTAGTATAGGGTCCATGTACCCAACTCACCTCCAGCTACGTCCCCACTCCGTCAGTGCCAGACACTAGTATTGGGTCCATGTACCTGGCCCACTTTCAGCTTTGTCCCCACCCCTTCAGTGCCAGACACTAGTATAGGGTCCATGTACCTGGCCCACTTTCAGCTACGTCCCCACTCCGTCAGTGCCAGACACTAGTATAGGGTCCATGTACCTGGCCCACTTTCAGCTACGTCCCCACTCCGTCAGTCCCAGACACTAGTATAGGGTCCATGTACCTGGCCCACTTTCAGCTACGTCCCCACTCTGTCAGTCCCAGACACTAGTATAGGGTCCATGTACCTGGCCCACTTTCAGCTTTGTCCCCACTCCATCAGTGCCAGACACTAGTATTGGGTCCATGTACCTTACCCACTTTCAGCTTTGTCCCCACCCTGTCGGTCCCAGACACTAGTATTGGGTCCATGTACCTGGCCCACTTTCAGCTTTGTCCCCACCCAATCAGTCCCAGACACTAGTATAGGGTCCATGTACCCAACTCACCTTCAACTTTGTCCCCACTCCGTCAGTCCCAGACACTAGTATAGGATCCTTGTATCCCGCAGCTGCCAGATCGAAAGTGGCCCCAAACATTCCGATGCTTGAAGTGCATCCCGTGCGAGACGTTGACTTGGCAAGCGGCATGATGGCTTGTACGAGGTCGTCACCTGCCTCGATGTCCACACCAGCATCTTTGTAGCTGAGCCCGTTCTCCAAGGGGACACTCGGGGACAGTGGGCGGTCCCTAATAGGAAAGCCATTTAGTTCAGCATGCAACAACTATGATCACAAGTGCTAGGCCTGTAAAAAGATTTGATAATAATGGGCGAGTTGGGTTTAACGCTGCTTTGAACAGTATTCCAGTTATATTAGGGCATGTCAGCTTAATGTGGGAGGAAAGTCCGAAGTGATGCAGGTGCATATGTTTACCACAATGCTGAAACCCTTGAGCATGGGAATGGTGCTGACAAACCTAGATTTGAACTCAAGAGCACACATTTCTTGCATACCCAAGGCACATAACTCTGCATGATGCAATAATGAAAACCTTTATTTCAAGCTGCAGACAGTAACATTCCAACATATCAGAGGACACTTAAAATAATGAAGTCGGTCAAGGAAATCTATGATTTCAAATCAAGTGCCTTTGACAGGCAAACTGCAGAGAGTTTTGCTTATAAGTTATATTGTTCAATAGGTTCCTATTTTCAGAGGTATTTTAACACCACGCTTTAACATATTGCATGTAATACATGACACAATAATGTAAAATTAAGCCTCCTCTTCTTTTTCATTCCTTCACATAAGTTAGAGCAATACTTACTGGAAATAGGAAAAAAAAATTTTCCCACTTGGGAATTTTTACAGAAAATTGCTGCAGACCTGGGCCTGAATATCTGCCTGAAGAGATATATATACTACTCAAAAGAAGTTAAGGATCACCTGATTCTTTCATATTACAATAGTTAATCTCTCATGCCATGACAGATTAACATTACCAATATGAAAGAATCGGGTGATCCTTAACTTCTTTTGAGTAGTATATAAGATGAATCCCTGGCTTGACAGGGATGGAAATTAGCACTAGACCAGCCCAGTTTTGTTTATGAATCCTAAGGGCTAGTAATATTTCAAACATTTTGGGGAGCATTGCCTTTTTGGGATACGCAGGCAATCTTTATTAACCTCTATCCTGGCTTGATATGATCATAATCACCGAGTCCGACTGCCTGATGTAACTTATCTGCCTCTTTCGACAAGCAATAGTGCATTGGGTCCCATTCTTATCTATGTCCCCGGGTTTTCTACCATCCCAATATGATCGCAGGATATCATATGATCATAATCACTGTGACAGTCAGTGACAGGGGTTTTGTATTCATGGTTTGTCATTGAGATTGACTACAACAGGTGTTCTATATCACCAGCACAAACAATTGGAGGCTTTGACTCAGGCTGTTCATATATTTATCTTCACTCGTTAAAGAATCTAACTATCTGTTTGGCCTGTCGCCATTTTATAAAAACACATACATATAGGTTGGCCGGCCTGTTCGGATACCATGATATCATATGGGTAATGTTTGATGTGACGACAAAATTGACCCGTTACATAGATCTAACTTTCTCACACAAGCATATCACGAAAAAAAGTCTTATAACTTGTTACCTGGAATGAGAAATTTGTTACAAGCGAGTGTTCAGGATTTTAAGAGCTTAATGTTTTGTGTACATGCCCTGACTTTAAGTCTCATGATGTACAAATCCCATTCAGCTTGTACAATCCTGTACTCACAGCTAGTGACAGATGAAACCCATATTACCATGAAATAATTTCAGTCTCAGGTGATGGCTTTTCAAATACTTAAAAAGTATTCAGAACAAGAAAACAGCGTTATATCTATCCACAGCCATGGGCACATTAGAATTTTTGAGGTTCATATAGTAAGTGAATATACACTATAAACAAGAGAGTCCTGTACAGCCTTAAGAAGAGATAGGCACTACAGATGCTTTACATCATCAGAAAAAATGATTAAATGTGAATTAATGCACACAAAGGGGCACCAATTCTCAAACTTCAGTAGTTTCTGAGAAAACCTGTCCCCACTGCAGACACTATGCATATTGCAAAATAACCTAGACCATGAGCCAAAACTGTGTATACTAAAAATCTAAAATCATGTAGCAAGGGAAGTTACTCTGGGAAAAAATGATTCATGACACCATTTCTCGAACTCATTCTTGGTAAGTATCTCAAAGACAAGTATGCAAAGCTTCATTCATGTAACTTCAGTAGTTCCTGAGAAAACTGTGCCAACTGTAGACACTGCACAAAGTTGAAAAGCATGTGCCAAAATAACTGCATATGGCACCAAGTATCTCTTATGAAAGAATGATAACTTTCATTCATGTTACTTTAGTAGTTTCTAAAAAAACATTTGTCTCCATTTCACGCAGTTGAAAAGTACAGGGGCAAGGGCCATAACTCTGTAACACCATTAAAAATCATGGCTAGTAACATCAGTGTGTAAAATTTCATTTCTCTCACTTTAATAGTTTTTGAAAAAAATCTGTCCCCATTGAGAAGCAGACTGACGAACTCAGTTCATATATCTCATATACCCCACTTCGTGGCAGGGGATAATTCAGACTACCCAAGTGTCTAAAGGTAGAAGCAAAATGTAGTCATAAAGCAATGTTTTCCACAGAAAACTATATCCTCTTAGACAAGAACAAAACAAATCTGTGACTGGTACAACAAAATTTATTATGAAAGTTCATGATGAATATCAGTGTTGTCAGGACGGGACATTATTTTACAGCTTGACCATTCACATCCAGCGGAAACTTAAATTGCTTCAAGGGCAATGGTCTTACTGATATTTCCACTGTTCATCCAAAACACTTCATTTAATTTAGCAGTCAACCCAAGGCAAGTAATTTAGATCGACTGTTCCTGGGGTCTCACTCTATTAAAGTTTATATTCCACTGAACTCACACAAAGTGTAAGTCAATTCTTGTCATGTTCTAATAATGCTATTTGGAACCTTGAAGTATATATATGCATACACAATTTCTTTGGACCTCAAGTGTACAGAGGCAAAAATAATAGTTCACAGTACGTCCTCAATAAAACTGTAACATTGGTAAAAACAATTGTTTTGCGCTCCTTTCTTGAAGCACACAAAAACAGCCTCCCTTCCCCCGATACTAAATCGGCAGCCCTGGCAAATTTGATTTTAGTCATGATGATATAGAACATGCAGGTAGATTACACTTGTTACACTTCTACAATGTCTCAGTTACGGGTTCTGTTCTGAGTTTCATTCCCCAAATGGTTACAGTTTATAGGGCACATTCAGACCAAAGTCCTTCTTTAAACATTCATTCTCAAATTCTGACTGCAAGGAATCAAACAGGAGATCAGACCAATATGATATCCAATCAAAGCTGTTTCATATTTGTATCTACCTGCTCAAGACTCGGAAGCCAATATCCTTCCTGTAAAATGCCCCTTCGAAGTCTATGAGAGCTGCAGCTGCGGTTGCCATGGAGGCAGCTGTGGCCAGCTGCTGATCTATTGCTACGGCTGCCAACACCCGGCCTCCGCTTGTTACCAGCTTCCCGTCTTGACGAGCCGTACCGGCGTGGAACACCACAGTAGCGGCCTGAACAGCCTTCTCCACCCCTGCAACAACATTTCCAACACCGTCATTATACTGGGACATTGAATGGGACCAATGGAGCCTTCTTAATTCACGCTAGTTCGCTAGCTAGAGACTACAGAATTGTGATGAGGACAAGTAAAAGTCCAATGATGGCAGTCCGTGACTAATAGCATTAGAGGGCTTTGAACCAGTTCTTAATCTTTTTAATATTGCTACAAAACTGGAATTGAATAAAACTGCTGAAAATGTAAACAAAGAACACAATTTGTCTTGTTCAAGCAGGACTAGCTTCAAACTCTGAGGTCTAGTCTTGAATTAAACAACAGTTTCTAAGACTGCAATTGGCAATGAAAGATAGTAAGGTTGATCTTTATTGTTTGCTGACTCACACTGTATGATAGCACTCATTACTTGCAAGCATAGTTGGTTGGTTGGTTTGTTGTTCTACACCTCACTCAGTAATATTCCAGCTTTATGACAGCGGTCTGTAAATAATCATGGCTGGACCAGACAATCCAGTGATTGATATCATGAGCATCGATCCACACAATTGGGCTCGATGACATGCATCAACCAAATCAGCGAGCCTGACCACTCCATCCCATTAGTCGCCTCTTATGACAAGCATATTTGCCTTTTACGGCAAGCAAGGGTTGCTGAAGGCCTATTCTACCCCGGATCTTCACAGGCATAGGATATCATTGAAATGTTGCAGTAAACACACCCAAAAGACTCAAATGATTCACAGATAAATGGACATGGAATAGCTGTTACAGATGAAGGAATTCAGTGTTCTTGGCTGGGAAATTTGGAAATAAAACAATTTTATTTTGTTACAAATTTGAATCTAAATTCTTTTTTTCTGAAACAAGTGATTATTAATTAACTATCAGTTTGGTATTACATGGATATGAACAGCAGAGTTGATGCCATTTCCAACACTGATTACCTGAGATCTCCATCCCCTTCTTGTATGCCCCAGGATAGCCCCCGCTGACCACCACGACCCCAACAGCCGACTTCTCCGTGTCAAACTCCACGCTCAGGGACCCCAACTTCCCCTCCACACATGCCCGGCAGACGTCCAGCAGGTCCGTCCTCAGCAGTGGCAGGATCGACTACAACAAGAGTGCCGTCAGTCAGTGACAGGGTTTATATTACTGGTTTATTATGGAGATCAACTACAACAAGAGTGCTGTCAGTCAGTGAGAGGGGTTTATATTAGTGGTTTATTATGGAGATCGACTACAACAAGAGTGCCGTCAGTCAGTGAGAGGGGTTTATATTAGTGGTTTATTATGGAGATTGACTACAACAAGAGTGCCGTCAGTCAGTGAGAGGGGTTGATATTAGTGGTTTATCATGGAGATCGACTACAAGAAGAGTGCCGTCAGTCAGTGACAGGGTTTATATTACTGGTTTATTATGGAGATCGACTACAACAAGAGTGCCGTCAGTCAGTGAGAGGGGTTTATATTAGTGGTTTATCATGGAGATCGACTACAACAAGAGTGCCGTCAGTCAGTGACGGGGTTTATATTCATGGTTTATCACAGAGATCGACTACAACAGGAGTGCCGACAGTCAGAGGGGTGTTATATTAACGGACACATTCCTATCAGCCAGACAACAGTATAGGGGTTCAAGTCTTAAACAAGCTATTATCAAAGAGATTTCAAAATAAAAGTTGAATGAAACAGCGACATACTGACCTGAGTTTCTGGGTCTCCAAACCTACAGTTGAACTCTAGAACCTTGGGACCAGCGTCTGTGATCATCAGTCCTGCATACAGCACCCCTGAAACACACACCCTGGCACATGGTGAACATGGTAGAATACCCCATGGAAAGAACGCTAAAACAAACTAAATACTGTTTCCTAACACAGTCATCAATATTCCAGCAGCAGTCTGGTCCAAGCTAAACACTGACCTGAAGGATGAGCAGCAACATATGCTATTGAGGCAAGGTGACAAGAAATCAGGCAAGTCAAAGAGCCTGACCATCCGCTTCAAATTATTTGCCTATCACGACAAGACAGAAGTCTATCGAAAGTATGTGAGCCAACATTGGGCTGCAATCTGATTAGTTTAATGGAATTCACAGTCCAGAAAACATGTTTGGGTTATTTCCTTATTTGTCACAAAATTAGATATTTATTGAATTTCTTAATAATACATGAATATTGCATTCATTATATTCATTTGCATTCATACTTCGGTGAAACCCACAAGCATGAGTATGGTACTGACAAACTAAGAAACATAATAGGGGCAAACCCCACAATCATAGGTTTCTGGCGTGCCCAAGGGACGCAACTCTGTACAGCGAATGGCGTCGCCTTAGGCGACTGGGCCATCCTTGCCCCCCCCCTATCATAAGACAAAATGTTGAGGGCTTTTATTTTTTAAATAAGATCTATGCCGTACCCTTGGTCAGAAGAGTAATTTTGATTGGTTGTTGATTTCAACATGATGAGCGAGAGAAATTTTGTGCTAATTTTATAAGACATACAGGGAGACGCCATTTCTGAATAACATTTTAGCTGAAAATAGGTCCAGGGTATGAACAAAAATAAAATGGTGATAATAGATAGATATTAACATGAACACCTTGGGGTATGGACAGAAGGCCCCCATGCCCAGTGTTTGTTCGTGCATTACCTTGGGATAGGGACGCACAACAAGTTGGTTTCATGTTTAACGCCACACTCAGCAATATTCCAGCTTTGTGACATTGTTTTTTAAATATTCGAGTCTGGACCAGACAATCCACTGACTGATATCATGAACATCGATCAAATGACCACCCGATTTCGTTAGTTGCCTCTTAAGACATGCATGAGATGCTGAAGGCCTATTCTAACACAGACTCAAGGGTCCACTTGCCCAAAGAGACACTACATGTGCTTCAGTATGGGGCAGGACCCTCAAGAGTCAAGCTGCTGGAAAAAGTCACCCATCATACAACTATCTGACTCCGTTGCTTCACCTGATTTGTGTCCTGTGTGCTGTACACAGACCCATGCCACACTCAGCAATATTCCAGCTATATGACGGCGGTCTGTAAATAATCGAGTCTGGACCAGACAATCCAGTGATTAATATCATGAGCATCTATCCACGCAATTGGGATATGATGACATACATCAAGTCAGCGAGTCAGCGAGCCTGACCACCCGATCCCGTTAGTTGCCTTTTACGACAAGCATAGTCGCCATTTAGGGCAAGTATGGGTTGCTGAAGACCTATTCTACCCCGGAATCTTCACAGGTCACATGCCACCATGGATAATGGATTATGGATATTTGAGGATGGGCCTTGATGGGTTGGTTCCTTACCAATATATTTCCTGTCTTCGCTTTTCAGACCGTTCACCGTCTTCTCCAAAATGTCTGTCTTAATTTTCCTCAAATCATCTGCCGAAAGCTGCCAAAGCATAGATTAACACTGGGAATAGAAATTATCTTTCTTTGGTTCCAATAGAGTGAGTGAGTATGGTTTTACGCCGCCTTTAGCAATATTCCAGCAACATCACGGCGGGGGACACCAGAAATGGGCTTCACACATTGTACCCATGTCGGGAATCGAACCCGGGTCTTCGGCGTGACTAGCGAACGCTTTAACCACTGGGCTACCCGACCGCCCCCGGTTCCAATAGAAAATGTTCATTGTTAGACTCTAATTGTAATGAAATATTTTCTCCACTCAAATGAATTGTGATGATATATTTTCTCCACTCAAATGAATGTTGGAAAGCTCCATATTTGTGAAAGGATGGATGCCACTTAATCAGTGAATTAGTTGGGTTAAATGAAACAGTAAAGAAAGGTATTTCACCTTTTAACATGGCATGTTAGCTTGATGTGGGAGGAAAGCCTGAAGCAATGCAGGTCTTAGATCTTCACAACTTTCTTGAAACCTAAACTCTTGTTGTTAACAAACCAAGAAACAGGGCAAATTGGCAATTGAACTCAAGACCAGATGTTTCTGGCATGTCTAAGGGATGCAATTGTGTACATGTAATTCCAGCACTGAGTGTCCCCATACTCCACAGGTTGGGTCCTGCATTACCTTGGAGTAGGGACAGAGTGCCCCCATGTCAGGACCTGCATTACCTTGGGGTAGGGACAGAGTGCCCCCATGTCAGGACCTACATTACCTTGGGGTAGGGACAGAGGGCCCCCATGTCAGGACCTACATTACCTTGGGGTAGGGACAGAGGGCCCCCATGTCAGGACCTACATTACCTTGGGGTAGGGACAGAGGGCCCCCATGTCAGGACCTACATTACCTTGGGGTAGGGACAGAGGGCCCCCATGTCAGGACCTGCATTACCTTGGGGTAGGGACAGAGGGCCCCCATGTCAGGACCTGCATTACCTTGGGGTAGGGACAGAGGGCCCCCAGTGGTGGGTCCTGCATTACCTTGGGGTAGGGACAGAGGGCCCCCAGTGGTGGGTCCTGCATTACCTTGGGGTAGGGACAGAGGGCCCCCATGTCAGGACCTACATTACCTTGGGATAGGGACAGAGGGCCCCCATGTCAGGACCTACATTACCTTGGGGTAGGGACAGAGGGGCCCCAGTGGTGGGTCCTGCATTACCTTGGGGTAGGGACAGAGGGCCCCCAGTGGTGGGTCCTGCATTACCTTGGGGTAGGGACAGAGGGCCCCCAGTGGTGGGTCCTGCATTACCTTTGGGTAAGGACAGAGCCCCCATGTCTGGTCCTGCATTACCGTGGGGTAGGGACAGAGCCCCAATGCTGGGTCCTGCATTACCTTTGGGTAAGGACAGAGCCCCCATGTCTGGTCCTGCATTACCTTTGGGTAGGGACAGAGTGCCACCATGCTGGGTCCTGCATTACTGTGGGGTAGGGATAGAGTGTCCCCATGTGTGGTCCTGCATCACCATGGGGTAGGGACAGAGCCCCAATGTGGGGTCCTGCATTACCTTGGGGTAGGGACAAAGCCCCCAGTGTTGGGTCCTGCATTACCTTTGGGTAGGGACAGAGCCCCCATGCTGTGTGCTGCATTACCTTTGGGTAGGGACAGAATGCCCCCATGCCTCCTGTGTTGGGTCCCGCATCCCCCTCCTTCAACTGCTTGTGGTCCTGGGCTGGGGGCATCACACACACGCTCTCGCCATCAGTGAACGCCAACACCTATCACAAGAGTGTGCATAATATCAGCCCCAACATCTTGCAAGGATGAATATACAAATTATTATCATTACTGTAACATAAAAGTATCAAAATGTGTCACATTTATTAATGAAACTATAAACCTTATTACTTTTTTTCCTAACAAGTTCATGAAGTGAGTGCCAAATGAAGACCTTGATGAGTGCTAAACCATTAGTTTGGTTTACTGCATCTTGGAATGGTACTTCAGTCACAGTCCGGATTAGCATGCAGTTATTTTTGTTCCTCATAGGGAGGTTGTATTTTGAATGAACTTACAGACACCTCGTCCCCCTTGAGGAACTCCTCAACCACCACAGTGTCCCCCGCTGCTCCGTACTTCCTGGCCTGGGGGATAGAAAAGTCAACGTACACAATTACAAGGATTATACACTCGTTTCCTACAAAATTATCTTGTACAAATTGTTTTCCATATTAAAAAGATGGTTAATCCTTTCTGAATTTGTTACAAGTTTTCAAAGTATTGTGACATATTTCAACTAAAGTTTGATTTATATTATTCCCTTAAAACAAGATGGAACCATGTTGTTGCCGTGTTACCTGCATGATGGAATTAACTGCATCACAAGCTTCCTTCTTGGAGGCAGCAACAACAACGCCCTTCCCTGCCGCCAGCCCGCTCGCCTTCACCACAACAGCTTCACCAAGTTCACCACTGGAAGAAAACAAATCTGAGTGGAGTGGGGAGGAGCGGAGCGGAGTGGAGCAGAGTGGAGTGGTGCAGTGCAGTGCAGTGTGGTGCATCAACCAAGTCAGTGAGCCTGAGCACCAGATCCTGTTAGTCGCCTCTTACGACAAGAATGGGTTGCTGAAGACCAATTCTAACACGGAATCTTCACGGTACAGGAGCGGATTGGAGGACAGGGGAGTGCAGATGATAAATTGTCATTTTAAAAGTTTGACAATTTCATATCTTTTTGAAACAACTGCGTTGCACAATAAACAGCATTTATGACGACACATTTTTAATCTCCAGGATTTACTAGTCATTGGTTTGAGTCCCAGATCCACACCGATAATCACTCTTAGTCTGTTGGGGGGGGGGGGAAGGAAAGATATCTACCCTTGGTCTGTTGAGTGATTGCCATCCCTTGTCTGTGATTGAGTGTTATCAGTGAAATACCAATAACTTTGAAGACCAATGACTAGAATAGCCTACTTATTTATGTATTCACAAGCTTCATCTGCAGAGGTGAAGGTCTTGTACTGAGCTGTGGGAATTCCTTGACGGGTCATGAAGTCTTTGGAAAAAGCCTTGCTGCCCTCAATCTCTGCTGCTTTCGCTGATGGACCAAAGCAGGCTATCCCTGAGGAACAAACACGTTCAATGTAACAATAGGGAATAAGAAATAGAACTTGGAACAGGAAACATTCGGATCAAAGACATATTGGGGGGAGTGAGTGAGTTGGGTTTTACGCCGCTTTTAGCAATACTCCAGCAATAATAAGGCAGGGAACTCCAAAAATGGGCTTCACACATTGTACCCATATGGCATCGAACCGGGTCTTCGGTGTGACAAGCGAATGCTTCAGCCACTCGTCTACCCCTCTGCCCCAGTAACATGATAGAAAACGTAGTATGCTAATATTTGTCTGGGGATCATGGACATCCACATCAGTTGTTACACATACCAGGGATAGGTATTGGCAGAAATTCTGTCTTGCAATATTTCGCCCAAGAAATCTTTATGTATATTTGTTCTGAATAATTGGGGGGCACGGGTGGCCCAGTCGTCTAAGGCGCCACGATTCGCTGTGCAGAGTTGCGTCCCTTGGCACGCCAGAAACCTATGATTGTGGGTTCGAATCCCGATTCGCCCCGATTATGTTTCTAGGTTTGTCAACACCATACCCGTGCTCGTGGGTTTCTATGACTGGAATACTGTTAAAAGAGGCGTTAAACCCAACTCACTCACTCACTCTGAATAATTGGTTAAAAATTGATAGAATATGAAATGTTAATGGAAACAGCCCGATGCATGTGCTGTCTGGATTGGGACCCAGTCCACACAAATGCCTCAAAATCATGGACATAACTTTTATAATTACAGTAAACTATGGTTATATCGAACTCAGAGGGACCTGTAATTTTAGTTTGTTACAAGCATATATACAGCAAATGGCCGGGACAACATATCCGTAAGTTTGTAATAAGCATGTTCATTATAAACATAGTTTATTGTATGTATTATATCTTCTGTTACTGTATCAGAAAATACTGATTCACAAGGGTTGTATTGCTGATTGGATATTGCAATATACCAGTTATACCACGCACCTGTAACACATACTACTCAAAATTAGAACATTCACATGATACACTATACTGATCACCTATAACATGCATACCATCCGGTCCAAAAATACATCACATGAAATCAAATCAAATGTTACGAATAGTGTCAAATGTTACTCTTAAAGGCCAAAATACAAAAACAAACAGATGCCATATGCAAGAACAATGTGTACTAAAGAATGTCAGTGCGCACAAAAGGACACCAAAAGCGAAAGGACCATGATGACAGAAAGGAACGCCAGATGGCACTGCAATCTGTACATACCAGCTTGCTCCACTGTATGTATGATAAATGTTGGCAATGAGCAACACAACAGCAAGGTGTACAATGTATTACATCATTCCTCTTAAAACCCACTGTGTGATGTCATATATAAACGTTTCAAGTGCACTCATCATGGTCATCGTCACCAGGTAAGCTGGGATGTTTTAATAAATATTTCATAATGTAATATCATAAATATGTATAAGCTAAGTCACCATTTGAGTTGAGTGTGTCTGCAATTCCGGCAGCCAGTGGGTCCTCGGGACCAACCAGCACAAGCTCCACACAGTGCTCCTTACACCATGCACACACTGCAGAGAAGTCTTTCACATTTACATCTGAAACATTATTTGTATATCATGTTCCAGTCAATAAACAATCTCAGGCAAAGTTCAGCTAATCTCTGTCTATTACAATGAATGAATGAATGAGTGAGTGAGTGAGTGAGTGAGTGAGTGAGTGAGTGAGTGAGTGAGTGAGTGAGTGAGTGAGTGAGTGAGTGAGTGAGTGAGTGAGTGAGTGAGAGAGATTTTTCACAGTTTTTAACAATGTTCCAGCAAAATCAAGTGAGTGAGTGAGTATGGTTTTACGCCGCTTTTAGCAATATTCCAGCAATATCACGGCGGGGGACACCAGAAATGGGCTTCACACATTGTACCCATGTCGGGAATCGAACCCAGGGTCTTGGGCGTGACGAGCGAACGCTTAACCACTAGGCTACCCGACCGCCGAGCAAAATCAAGACTGGGGACACCTGAAATGGGCATTAAACATTGTACCCATGTGGGGAATCAAAAACCCTGGTCCTCAGGGTGATGAGTGAACATTTTAACCCCAAGGCTGTCTATTACAGAAGATAGGCGTAAATGTTGTGTTGTGTGCTGCTAACAGTAACATTGATAATCAGTGTTTGAAATGAAGTAACAAAGTCAAGGGGCTCATATCCAAACAATTATCCTAAAACTTAAAATATTGGGTGTCCCTCAAATGAAATAGAATTGCAGCAAACCTCTAGGATGTCGAAGCAGACTTCATTTCAAACTCTTGGTCACAACTTACCAACATTGCTGATTTTGCCTTCGCTTGCTGTCCCAGCGTTGCCAGGGGCAACAAAAACTGCCTTAACTTTCTCAGACTGAGCGAGTTTCCATGCCAGAGCATGTTCTCGCCCACCGCTTCCTATCAACAGCACGTTCTCCATTCCCTACAACACACACAACAGTGAGAGTGATTATCAAACTCTTCTGAAAGAGTGTTTCAGTAAAATCACACAGGTCCTCTGAATGTCAAGTTCAGGCTTGACCTTCATTCAAAATTGTAGCCTCATTCTGAGCCAGCCCCATTAAGTTTTTACCATTCATGAAGACTGTTTTAAATTATTGTGTGTACTGCATAGGGCGACCATTGGTTGGTTGGTTGGTTGGTTGGTTTGTTGTTTAACGCCGCACTCAGCAATATTCCAGCTATATGAAGGCAGTCTGTAAATAATCGAGTCTGGACCAGACAATACAGTGATTAATATCATGAGCATCGATCCACGTAATAGGGATCGATGACATACATCAACCAAGTCAGCGAGCCTGACCACCCGATCCCATTAGTCGCCTTTTACGACAAGCATAGTCGCCTAGGGCGACCATTGATCTACCCACAGCATGGGTATACTGTATTGTTAAGATGGACAATAGATCTACCCACAGCATGTGTATACTGTAGTGTTAAGATGGACAATGGATCTACCCACAGCATGTGGCTACTGTATAGTGAAGATGGACAATGGATCTACCCACAGCATGTGTATACTATATTGTTAAGATGGGCAATGGATCTACCCACAGCATGTGTATACTGTAAAGTGAAGATGGCCAATGGATCTACCCACAGCATGTGGCTACTGTATTGTTAAGATGGACAATGGATCTACCCGTAGCATGTGGCTACTGTATTGTTAAGATGGACAATGGATCTACCCACAGCATGTATATACTGTATAATGAAGATGGACAATGGATCTACCCACAGCATGTGGCTACTGTATTGTTAAGATGGACCATGGATCTACCCACAGCATCTGGCTACTGTATTGTTAAGATGGACAATGGATCTACCCACAGCATGTGGCTACTGTATTGTGAAGATGGACAATGGATCTACCCACAGCAGGTATACTGTATAGTGAGGATGGACTATGGATCTACCCACAGCATGTGGCTACTGTATTGTTAAGATGGACCATGGATCTACCCACAGCAGGTTACTGAGGTATACTGTATAGTGAGGATGGACTATGGATCTACCCACAGCATGTGGCTACTGTATTGTTAAGGCGGACCATTGATCTACCCACAGCATGTGGCTACTGTATAGTGAAGATGGACAATGGATCTACCCACAGCATGTGGCTACTGTATAGTGAAGATGGACAATAGATCTACCCACAGCATGTGTATACTGTAGTGTTAAGATGGGCAATGGATCTACCCACAGCATGTGTATACTGTATAGTGAAGATGGCCAATGGATCTACCCACAGCATGTGGCTACTGTATTGTTAAGATGGACAATGGATCTACCCGTAGCATGTGGCTACTGTATTGTTAAGATGGACAATGGATCTACCCACAGCATGTATATACTGTATAATGAAGATGGACAATGGATCTACCCACAGCATGTGGCTACTGTATTGTTAAGATGGACCATGGATCTACCCACAGCATCTGGCTACTGTATTGTTAAGATGGACAATGGATCTACCCACAGCATGTGGCTACTGTATTGTGAAGATGGACAATGGATCTACCCACAGCAGGTATACTGTATAGTGAGGATGGACTATGGATCTACCCACAGCATGTGGCTACTGTATTGTTAAGATGGACCATGGATCTACCCACAGCAGGTTACTGAGGTATACTGTATAGTGAGGATGGACTATGGATCTACCCACAGCATGTGGCTACTGTATTGTTAAGGCGGACCATTGATCTACCCACAGCATGTGGCTACTGTATAGTGAAGATGGACAATGGATCTACCCACAGCATGTGGCTACTGTATTGTGAAGATGGACAATGGATCTACCCACAGCAGGTATACTGTATAGTGAGGATGGACTATGGATCTACCCACAGCATGTGGCTACTGTATTGTTAAGATGGACCATGGATCTACCCACAGCAGGTTACTGAGGTATACTGTATAGTGAGGATGGACTATGGATCTACCCACAGCATGTGGCTACTGTATTGTTAAGGCGGACCATTGATCTACCCACAGCATGTGGCTACTGTATAGTGAAGATGGACAATGGATCTACCCACAGCATGTGGCTATTGTATAGTGAAGATGGACAATAGATCTACCCACAGCATGTGTATACTGTAGTGTTAAGATGGGCAATGGATCTACCCACAGCATGTGTATACTGTATAGTGAAGATGGCCAATGGATCTACCCACAGCATGTGGCTACTGTATTGTTAAGATGGACAATGGATCTACCCGTAGCATGTGGCTACTGTATTGTTAAGATGGACAATGGATCTACCCACAGCATGTATATACTGTATAATGAAGATGGACAATGGATCTACCCACAGCATGTGGCTACTGTATTGTTAAGATGGACCATGGATCTACCCACAGCATCTGGCTACTGTATTGTTAAGATGGACAATGGATCTACCCACAGCATGTGGCTACTGTATTGTGAAGATGGACAATGGATCTACCCACAGCAGGTATACTGTATAGTGAGGATGGACTATGGATCTACCCACAGCATGTGGCTACTGTATTGTTAAGATGGACCATGGATCTACCCACAGCAGGTTACTGAGGTATACTGTATAGTGAGGATGGACTATGGATCTACCCACAGCATGTGGCTACTGTATTGTTAAGGCGGACCATTGATCTACCCACAGCATGTGGCTACTGTATAGTGAAGATGGACAATGGATCTACCCACAGCATGTGGCTACTGTATAGTGAAGATGGACAATGGATCTACCCACAGCATGTGTATACTATATTGTTAAGATGGGCAATGGATCTACCCACAGCATGTGTATACTATATTGTTAAGATGGGCAATGGATCTACCCACAGCATGTGGCTACTGTATTGTTAAGGCGGACCATTGATCTACCCACAGCATGTGGCTACTGTATACTGAAGGTGGACAATGGATCTACCCACAGCATGTGTATACTGTATAGTGAAGATGGACAATGGATCTACCCACAGCATGTGGCTACTGTATAGTGAAGATGGACAATGGATCTACCCACAGCATGTGTATACTATATTGTTAAGATGGGCAATGGATCTACCCACAGCATGTATATACTGTATAGTGAAGATGGCCAATGGATCTACCCACAGCATGTGGCTACTGTATTGTTAAGATGGACAATGGATCTACCCACAGCATGTGGCTACTGTATTGTTAAGATGGACAATGGATCTACCCACAGCATGTATATACTGTATAGTGAAGATGGACAATGGATCTACCCACAGCATGTGGCTACTGTATTGTTAAGATGGCCAATGGATCTACCCACAGCATGTGGCTACTGTATTGTTAAGATGGACAATGGATCTACCCACAGCATGTGGCTACTGTATTATTAAGATGGACAATGGATCTACCCACAGCATGTATATACTGTATAGTGAAGATGGCCAATGGATCTACCCACCTCATGTGGCTACTGTATTGTTAAGATGGACCATGGATCTATCCACAGCATCTGGCTACTGTATTGTGAAGATGGACAATGGATCTACCCACAGCAGGTATACTGTATAGTGAGGTTGGACTATGGATCTACCCACAGCATGTGGCTACTGTATTGTTAAGATGGACCATTGATCTACCCACAGCAGGTTACTGAGGTATACTGTATAGTGAGGATGGACTATGGATCTACCCACAGCATGTGGCTACTGTATTGTTAAGGCGGACCATTAATCTACCCACAGCATGTGGCTACTGTATACTGAAGGTGGACAATGGATCTTCTCACAAGCATGTCTAGATGTTGATGTTTATGCTAGCAGATCTTGCAGGCTCGTGAAAATAAAGACTAGTGTCTCTCCCTGCAATGTATTGTGGAACATGATAACTGGGAAACAACACATGCTATCAACAAACAGCCATTTGACAGCTGTCTGTAAATAATCGAGTCTGGACCAGACAGTCCACTGATTGACATGAGCATCGATCTGCACAATTAGGATACGATGACATGCATTAACCAGGTCAGTGAGCCTAACCACCCCGTTCCGTTAATTGTCTGACAAGCATAGTCGCCTCTTAGGATAAGTATGGGATTCTGAAGACCTTTTCTAGCCCAGATTATCACAGGTTCCGAAACCACTGAATGGCATGACTCATATATTATATTGTTTGTTTGTGTTGTCAGCTACGGAAGACAAATATACTTAAATGTCGACCACTAGTGTCATGGAAAACAGCTGTCCTAACCCCCGATACTGACTGTTACCAGTTACCTTTCCTCAGAGACACACTTTGTCTTCAAATGCAGGACCTGTCTGGCACTGAGAGCAGTGGTTTGTGGTGTAACTAAATAGGCATTATAGAACACAACACATAGATATAATCAATATGCATGAGAGAAGTACATATATATTTTGTGTTGTAAGTGACAGTATGATACCCTATATTGTATATTGACCATTAAATTTGATATTGAGTAAACCATTTACATGTTTTGAAGATGTAATTCATTCTTATCTTCATCAAACTTACTTCTTGATGTTAGAAAAAACAAGAATAAGACCAGTAGTTGACACTATCAAGGAGAGATGTTCCTCCATTTGAGCTGAAGGGGTTGTTGTTGGCATGTGTACTACAGATATGTACCCCAGGTACGTTTCAGTCTACAGAAATGTACCCTAGAAAAATTCAGAATACAGAGCAGTACCTGGCACCCTCAATGACGGATGAGTCCACATTCCTCCATCCGAAACCGGTTTGTGTTCCTGTGCATGCTGGATAATGCTGTGCATCAAGGATTATAAGAGTGCTGTATGTACGTCAATGTAAGCTCGGTTTTTATATAGCACGCTGGTACCAATGCATCTCATGCTACAGTATGACATTTCCGATCCAGAAACTGAACAAAATCTTCCACGTCAAGGATCAGGTTTAGAGCACTGCGCAATGTGGAAATGACACATCCTAGGGTGCCATTCTGTATTCTGATTTTGGCTAGGGTACATTTATGTATACAGAAACCTGTCTGTAGTAGTGACAACATCAACTTGCTACAGATGTTCAAAAGTTAGACCGTGCTCTGTCCATCAGTCTTCTGCAATTTGAAGAATATCTTACAAGCTTGTTTGTTTGTTGTTTAATGCAGCACTCAGCAATATTCCAGCTATATGACGGTGGTCTGTAAATAATCGAGTATGGACCAGACAATCCAGTGATTGACAAAATGAGCATCGATCCTCGCAATTGGGATACGATGACATGCATCAACTAAGTCAGCGAGCCTGACCTCCAGATCCCGTTAATCGCCTCTTACAATAAGCATTGTAGCCTTTTACGGCAAGAATGGGTTGCTGAAGACCTATTCCATCCCGGATTTTGACAGGCCTCTTACAAGTCGTCACATGTACACAGATGTCCAATAAAAGTGTAACTGAAATTAGATGTAATTGCTAGAAACATATTTGACACATGTATACGTCCTAGTTCTGGAAATAAATATCTACCTGTCTCTCCAATTTACTATGTGGCCAAAAGTCTTCGCAAACAATTAAATCAATTCCCCGTCGATCGTGTCATATGCGCGCATGACTTTCATAGAATTCCACAGAGCGACGAGACATTCTGACAGATCTAAGTTCATACGTTTGACTAAACACAAATTGATGACATATTCATCGTATAGCATGAATATACGTATAGCATGTTTCACGACACAACGTTTTTTTCAGAACCGGGAAAGCGTTGACAGTTTATCATTCTCGACTGTAGCAATAAACCTGGTGCAACTCTCATTCATGTTGACGGACATATTGTATCGTTGACACTCGTGTTTCGCTGGGGTTCGGTCAGTGCAGTCAGCCATAAAGTTTCAGGAAAATTAAGTTATCACGTGTAGGGTGTTGTATTGATAAAACAGAAGTGGCCTAAACCATAGCATTCACTTTGAACAACTCACTTAGACCTATATATTTCGCTGGCGAACTCTATCTGTTCTATATTCTCTCCAACAATGACTCGTCGTCAGTGTGTTTACGTTCTCAAACCTCGCGCTGTCGACCACGTGGAGGCTATAATATGAAGGGAGACAACTCAGTCATATACCTAATGCTGGCTGTTTCATCCGGCTGTCGATGACAGTGTATGGCGTCTGGGGGAATGTCATGATTGGCGATCGGTAAAGCTGAACAAAACCCTTCAAACAACAGAAATGATTCAATCAATTCCATATGAACATTTCATCAAAAATGTTTTCTTTTGTAATCCTGGGCATTTAAAACATTTGTTCATGTATGTGTAACAGCGTCAAGTCTGGTGAATGTTTATTCTCAATACCAATATCATTACTATGTATATCAGCTTGGGCTGGGACGGGTAACTACCCAGAACCGTGGTTAGTCACGTGACATATTGTTTAATAACAAAAACCTACTAAAGCTCAGTGGTTACACTACAAATCGCTAATGTTCGCATTTCTTTCTGACGATGCACACATTCCTCTTGACTTGTATCTGTTAGTTTTAAGTAAAGATAAATCTTCAGTCAACTTCAGTGAACGCATGATCTGATTGTTTCATAAGAGACCATATATCTATTATGCATTATGTATCTAAACAATTTTTGCCAGGACTACAGTTAAACTATTCCCAATTAGACATTGTGTTCCCAACTCTTGAGACCTACAGTGGGTACCCGGGTAGGGTCGGGTAATAGGGGGTTGGGTACCCGGGTAGTTTATTTGGACTCGTTCCAGCCCTAATATCAGCCCCAAACAATGAAATAACACAAATGTAAAATATAATCTAATAAATATGTACTGTAAATATATATATTGTAAAACTGTCACAATAACTCTTTGCATTTTTAATATAAACATCACTTACATTTCTTACTGCCAGTAACGTGAGGAATGTGTGAATAAATACAATTACATGAAATATACATGGAATATAGAATGCATAATGAATAAAAACGTATGTAGATCTCGATGTTTAAAACTACAAGGTACACACAACGCTCATGATTACAGCCGCACTTACCCAAATTCATCACTCGACCATTCACAGTCACTTACTTAGTTGATATGTAGGACAACTTAGGGTAGAGTTTAATGACCAATGATTCATCTAACAACTACACAATACATCCTATTTCTTATCATAATAAACTAGAACTCACCCATAAGTACAACACTACATGATTAACTAACTTTAAGTATTCATGAATATCCCCACATGTCCCCTCAATCCTGCATGATGAGAAACGGAAACACAGGAACTCGGAACAGGATATATCCTTCCTTCCGAAAAGAAACTGGCAACCGATTTTAAATGTATAAAATGCAATCGTTGCCGTTGAACAATGGCCAGCTTGGTCTATCAAAGAGACAATAGAAAGGGCTAGGGTGAAGAGTGCTGTGAGGTAAAAGCGTGCAGCGTCACAATTACTTGAAACTCTTGTGTGGAGAGTGCAACAGAAATGTCTGAAACATCCTCATTGTCGACACAGTTATAACACCTAAACCTGTATTCTTTGTAAAACCAAAAAAGATGTTGGTTTGAAATAATTAAAACTGAGTATTCATTGCTATGAAAACGAACGTTTGCTCCTGCCGATGCAGTAGTTTTACTAAACCGTGAAGATCCGGGAAAGATTAGGTCTTCGGTAACCCATGCCTGCCGTAACAGGCGACTATGCTTGTCGTTAGAGGCGACTTATGGGATCGGGTGGTCAGGCACGCTGACTTGGTTGATGCGTGTCATCGTATCCCAATTGCGTTGATCGATGCTCATGATGTCAATCACTGGATTGTCTGGTCCAGACTCGATTATTTACAGACCGCCGTCATGTGGCTGGAATATAGCTGAATGCGGCGTTAATCAACAAACAAACATGCGACTTGTCCTTTAACATGCTGCTTTATACGGTCAGTTCGGAAACCGCACTGTCTCTGGCCACTCCTTCTCACATGGCCCAGAGTTGCGCCCCCTAACCGTGCCATAAATATATAATCATGGGTTCGAATCCCGGTTTGCAATGATCATGTTTCTAAGTTTGACAGCCCGTGCTCGTGTCCTACATCGCTTCAGACATTCCTCCTATAGTCAACTGACACGCCGTGATGTCATTGACTACAGACAAAAGCGGTGTTAAACCTAAGCTAATGCGATAAACCAGAAGCTGTTATCCATTAGGGGTGTCACGATCAGTCGAAATATCGATATATTGCTATTGGTAAGAAAAGTCAATAAATCGATTGATAAATCAGTTTCCGATCAATAGTATCGATTTCATTTAGGAATATCGATAATTTCGATTGTATTTACCATATCAATAAAATACATTTAATGCTGTTCAAATTTGTTTTTCTTTTGATCATGATTGGTAGTATTGGAACTGTCTTTTCCTAAAATTATTAGGGTAAAGAAAAAAACAAATCAGTCATATCTCAAACTTTTCTTTTTATTTGTTGTTATGGTTATCACATTCAAAGGAAACCTCAGTTCCAAGTTTTTATTCAACTCTAAAATTATACACTGCAAACTGTCGATATTTATCGCAATAGTTGCTTGCAATATCAATAGTTATCGCAATAGTTTCTTTCAATATCAATAGTTATCGCAATAGTTTCTTTCAATATCAATAGTTATCGCAATTGTGATTTCCAGACCAATAGTCACCCCTATTATCTATAAAGGTGTACGTTTTTCTGTTAACTCACCAATTTCTACAATTCTAATCAACGGTTAATATTTGCCGATTTAACAACAGTCAAATCCTATTATACCATTCAACACAGAGTACATTCTCCGATTCCCACAAATAACCTAAGAAACCATAGCTTGTCGGTGAAACTAAATCTGCCTGTATTTATACATGTATCTGTATTTTAACTGGTTATTTTGAAGAAGTGCGATGACAAGACGTATTGTTGGAAATGTAATCGTCTGGCGTGAATCAGATAGTCAATCTCTTTATTGTTTGTTTGTTTTTTAATGCCACACTCGTACAGCATTATATTCTTCCAGCTCTTTCACGACGATCTGTAAAAAATCGAGTCTAGACCAGACAATTGAGTGATTGACATCATGAGCATTATTTTAATTGATTTCATGACATCGTATCTCAATTGCATGGATCGAGTCAATCACTGGATTGTCTAGTCCCGACTCGATAATTTACAGACCGTCGCCCTGGAGCTGGACTTTGCTAAATGCGACATAAAAACACAGCAATCTGTGCATATTAGTGGCTTTTTACCTTACACATAAGCAAGCGCCTAAACTACATAAGTTACATATATTTTATCTTACTTAACAATTTATAATGTGCATCAATGAGGAACGTGTAGAGAGGAGGCAGCTTATCCAGCCGGGGCTGTGTTCTTTTATAAGTGGATTTGTCATGTTTACCTTGTTATAATCTATGCCATTATACAGTGATCATTGACGCGACAGTTGAGTGCATGGTGTATTAAAACAGACAGTGAAAAAAACATGTGCAAGACGCCTTTACGGAAAACATAAACAATGAATTACATTTGTGTGTGTGTGTGTGTGTGTGTGTGTGTGTGTGTGTGTGTGCCGATCACAATATTAGCTTGGGATCATGAACATTTTGGAGGATATCTTTTAGTAGTGAAGACTGAGAACACAAAAAATATCCCCAAAATTATTTATGATCCTATACTGTTTTGGTTCAGATTATACAAAATATATATATGTACTGAAAGGTAACTTAAATTTGTGACAATGAATATGTTTACTTAAAATCATGTATCAGAAATGTTAGCAGTCGTGTTCAGATATTGACTATGAGTTAGTATTTACTTTTCACTGCAAGCAGTCAATCAGGTTCACCAATATGGTCTCGGCCACAAGCAAGACGACAAACGAAGATTGCCGAGGTTCGCAACTGTGCGGTCTAAGGGAGATAACTATGGTTGAACAATTCCACTAGACCCAGTTTCGTATAAATGAGCGCAATGATGACGTCACGACATTTTGAGACTGTTTGAAGGACGCCATCTTGGAACATTGAACAACATAAAGAGATAGACTTCTGTTGATTGAGCGTTTAGTAATTTGAACACAGCGAATACAAAATGACGGAAGAAGATCCCGAAGTGGTACCTAAGTTGGTAAACAGAGTTATTATTATCTATTTCTACGTGGTAGACCTGTTGCCGATTTAGTATATGCATTTATCCGGTAAAAACACCCATTTTCCAAACTATATTCCCAACAACTGTTACCACATATGTACTCAATAAACATGGTGTATGTGTGTGGAATTTTTTTGGAATCGTAGTTTTAACTTATGAAGTTTAAGGCAAATAAAGGAAACCCCTCCTGGAAGACATTTTGTTGGAATTCTGACAAATATTCCCCCGCAAAATGGCCTAATTCAATGTCAGACGTCTTCCTGCACGTCTGCAAGGGCCAATGCTTCAACTTTTGTTTCTGTTTTGTTTCGTGTTTATTTGTTTTTTTCAAGCGTGTGTCATTTCGGTTACATCTACTACACTAATACGTTTATTCACTATGCATTACGCTCATTTCTGCCCAGCAAATTAGATGACACGAGTTATCTACAAGTTCGAACATGCGAGATGTTCTCATGAATCTTGTCACTCAATCAGGGTATGCAGCAGTCTTTATTTAAAAAAATGTAACCAGCAGACAGGGTGGTGTTGGAGGTATCAAGCCATTAATTCTCATAAGCTAATAGTGCATATGATGAAATGAAAATGTTTTGACAGTCCTAGACCTAGGACTAAAACAAATAGATGAAGACTGGCATGGTCACAAACTCTCTGATGATTCAAGTAAAATTTTAAAAGAAATTGTCAAATTAATGTTTGAACTTTCGAAGACCAGTCTTAAAAGAAAAACTTTAAGGAGGTGGAAGCAAATTATGTTCTGCAAGTTGATGTCCACTCAAGTCTCATCATAGCTGAAAAATTAGGGTTCACGAGGTTTGCCGCAATATCAATATAACATATTCAACATTTCATTTGGTCAATTTTGAAAATATGTACCGTATTTGACGTAATAAGCGCCCAGGACGATATTGTCTAATATACTGGCTAGTGAACAATCCCAGTTAGCACCCCTCCGATTTATCAATGTACACAAGACTTATTTATTTGTGTATAATACACACTCGTGTGTTTTGTGCACCCTAAGTATGGGCAATTAAATTGTGGAAAATATATCTGTCGTGTATAATACGCACAGACTTTTCTTTTGTATCATTTCAGGCTGTCAGCATAAATCACAAAATTTACGATCTTTCAACACTGTTTTTTTTCTTACCAAAGTTATATTCTAATAAGAGCCACCTATTTTTAATTTTGAGAGCGCCCTGGGCGCTTATTACGTCGAATACGGTAAGTCTGATTGAAACAACAGATTTTTACTGTGGAAGCTGTATTAAGAGAAAACTACTCCTTTATCAATCATTGTCTGTAGGCACTAAGCATTAGGCTACATGGTACAGTTTTACAAAATGCAGAGTTTTGGTTCAACACACAATAATAATTGACTAAGAGTGTCAGTGTGTTTCATGTTTTAGTTAGAGAGCCTTGTATTTATTACTTTTCTATATATCTGACTGTGACACCAAATAATTTTGGTCACAATGAGCTATGTGATGTCATAACAGAACTAAACCTTGCAGGACTTGCTTAATTTTGACTTATGAAATAACTCTGCTTCTGTGCACTAACAGGATCGATGCGTGGATTGATGATCATGATGTCAATCACAGGATTGTCTGGTCCTGACTTGATTATTTACAGACCGCCGTCATATAGCTGTAATATTGCTGAGTGCGGCGTTAAACATGTTAAACAACGAATGAACGAACGAACGAACGAACTGTGCAGCTTTCAGTGCCTGTCGTGTTTGTGAAGTATAATGATGTAACAGCAGTGAGTGAGCATATATGTAGTGCCAAACCGTGTTTGGAAGTGACTAATAGTCTATTATCAGTGTCTGCTTAATTCAGATGAAACCCACACAAAACACTGGATTCAATCCATGTATCTCTTCACTCAATTACTTGGCTAATAACAAAGAACTTTTGTTAAGTTTTGTTATGGTTCAATGGTTATAAACATACTAAATTTGTACTTTTATTATTTTTATTATTATAATTGGGTTATGACGAGGACTTCGAGGCTCAATTTCAAACACTGAAATTGAATTGTCATGTGAAACTTCACCAAATATTCTTTCATTTTCCAGAATATAATAATGCACTCAACATTTGTGAAGGCGAGTGAGGAGTTTGTGTTGATGCGCTGTGAGGAAGCGGGCTGTATGTGTGGGAAGGTGCACTGTCCATTCTGCAACATTGATCACTACAAGCCCACGCAGCCAGCCAGGGTGCGAGACCACCTCAACCTGATGCACTTCATGCATGCTGTACACTATGATGGTAGGTACATCCCATAGCGCCAGAGATAATCAGTCAATATTATAAGGGTAACGCTATTTTTCAGGGCATTATCATTTGCAGCTCAAGGTCATTCATTAACTGTCCGACAAAGGAGCGTAGTTGAAAAGACTGAGGGCTTCTGCAAATGATAATGCCCTGAAAAATAGCGTTACCGTTACTATAGCCAAAATGGATGGAATTTGTTATCAAATAAAAAGAAACAACAATATCGGTTTTGAAACATTTACTGCAACCAATACAAATGTCACTGACACACTTTTACAAGTATGGAAATGTCATAGAACAAACCAGATGACGTTACTATTAAACGTGACATCACCTATCCCTATCCCTATGACGTCACCTAACAACGGACGTGATAATGGCCCGTTGTCAAGCAATATGAGGGCATTTTCAAGTTACAGGGTCCCTCTCATTTCTGATAACATGTGGGCGGTTTTATGATAATTCTATCTATTTTAGCTATAATGGAACTTATTGGATCTGGACAGGAAGAATTACAGTCATCTGTCAAGTTGGTTTAGAACCAAATGTTTAGGAATAAAAATGATGATAGTGCGTTTTCGAATTTGCTTTCATCATCATGAATTAGATGTTGATATTATTTGATAATAATCTCATTGATCTAAGCTCTGTTGTTTGTTTCGTCCAAAAGTTGCTTGAAACAATGTGAGCAGATGTCCACCTCTCTTGTAGAATGTAAAAAATGAGAGCTCTGTCAATATCTACATTCACAGTGAATACCAGCACCAGTATCCCAGGCATTCTGCTGGAGTAACATGGCAATAGGACAGTTTCATCATTTGATTAGCTTTTGATAGGATGCTCTTTTTATCATGACTAAATTTGGAAAATTCTTTTGCACATTTTGGATGACAATCAGTCAGTGTCTTTGAAAATGAACCGATCTGAAACCCTGTATCCTATCTAGGAATACTTGAACGAGTGAGATCGATTTAACACAGTTTAGAACATTATGTTAGCTGCATCAAGGAATGTCCTATGGATGTGGAAGATAAGCCCCAAGTGATGCAGGTCATTGATGTTTACCACTTTGGTGAAAGTTATGAGCATAGGGACAGTAGTGCTGACAAACCAAGAAGCATAATTAGGGAGAAGCAGGGATTCAAACCCATGCTGGTCATAGGTTTCTGGTACACCTAAGGGATGAAACTCTGCACACTGAATTGCGGTGCCTGAGAGGACTGGGCCACCTGTGCCCCTAAACCTCTTTCAGCATTTCTCACAAAAATATATTGCAGAACAATTTTCTCCATTAAACATTATCACCACAAACATGGCTCATCATTTGTGACATTTTGTAACATATTGGGATGTTTATCAACAAAAGGTTGCCTTAATAATATTTTTTTACTAAACAACGCCAAGTAGAGATAGAATACCAGATTGAACATGTTCTTGTAGTGTTACCTGCTTTGTTTCAGGAATGATGATCGTGAAGTGTTTTCGCGAGTGTATGGAGGGGATCCCTGCCGGCCATTACCACTGCCCCCTATGCCTGAAACAGATCTCCAAGAGAGCAGCCTTCTCTCGGCATCTGCAGTCACATCTAGAGAAAGTGGTATGTCCCCATGGTTCACTGTCAATCCCAGTTGTGAGCAAGATAACATTTGCCCCCATATTGCCCACTAAGGTTACTTAGTTTGGAATCCTAGATAATTGCCTGAAAGTTTTTCCAAGCAACATGATACTCATTTCTTGAATAGAGATAATATCACTAGAAGCATCATGTAATGTTTATATATATTGTCAGATAGTAGTTAAAAGAGGCAACTATTGATAATGTTTCTTTATTCAGGGAAAAGACGTTACTGTTGTACAAGCACCTGATTTCAAACAGCCTGGCAAGATAGTGTTTGATGGTAAGGGTATTATCTGAGATCTACAGTCATATGTGGCTGAACAACCATCTTAGGTGTTCTAAGGTCATCCATTTACCCAGACAAAGTTTATCATTCTTGTGTGTCCAAGTCAAGTCAATAGTCTCCAAAATCAATGCAGAAAGTCCCAGATTTAGAAAAAGTAGTTTTTTCAATAAAAAATCATTGATTACTTTATGCTTGAAAATCTATTCTGAAATTATTCAAGAAGTTGAACGTATGTTCAATGGGGATAGGATTTGTTTCTGGATAATAACCTATGTACCATTCAGTATTTTGTGAATAATGTGAATATTGGAAAACTGAGCTCTAAAACTAATGGTTCTGTTGTTCGTAAAATCGTCACCTCTACAGAGCTATGACATCTGTTTTGACCATTAATATTAATTTAAATCAGGAAATTCTAAATTCAAATGTGGGAATTTTCTAACATTTGCTGAATCCGTCCTCTGAGCAGGTCATATTAATGTCTGTCGGTGTTCTCTTGTTGTTGCCAGGTCACGAGATCCCGCTGTGCACAAAGGTGTGTCCTGATGCACTGGGCAAACACTACCACTGTCCTCTATGCACAACCAAGAACTCCACGGAGCTGGGGCCCATGATGGCCCACCTGTGGCGGTGCCGCGAGGAGGCGAGACAGGTTTCCTCGTCACCAGCTTCTAGACCCAAGTCCAAACGACTGCCAAAGAAAGTCCCACCAGTGAGAGAAATACCGCCAGCTAAAAAGGTGCTTGTTTGTGCCAGAAACATGTTTGTCTACTGTCTCACATAAGTGGTTCATTTATGTAAGAATGAACTTTATGATAGTCTCATTAAAATCAGGTGTTTTACATTGATACGATACTTCTCTTCGTGAACATCTTACGACACGGCAGGTGACCGACGAATCTAAATACAGGATATGTTTGTCCTTCAACCAATCAAATGGCAGCTTTATTTCTTTACAATCTACATATGAAATCTTGATCAGAGTAAAGAAAGCTCGCTCAGAGCTCACATACCCTTGAAAAATGCCTTAGCTGCATCACATTTAGACACGGATTTTCAGTATATTAGACTGTTTTTTTGTTAATGATAGCAATTATTCCAGTAGTTTCTCCAGATTCCCGATGGTTAATTCTGACTAAATCACCGAATGACAAGGGCGACGCCATGTTTGTTTATAAACACTGAGAGTCGTCCCTACTTGACCTTTGATATTTGCATCTCTATCCGCATATGACCCCAACAGATATTGTTTTTATCCGTTGGCTTTATCCTGCCAAGAAACCTACCCGTTATATGATAAATCATTTTACCCAATTAATATTGAGTTGCTTGTGTGCATATACATGTGAAAAATTTTAAAACCCCAATAGTATAACAAAACTCTATGTATTTTGCCAATGTATCCTTTTCAACTTCATGTTTATTTACCGATCAAATGCAGGCATCACATATGCCTGAACTCAGCTGCAGAGAATAATGCATAAAAAGGCACTGTGTCTCGCTTATTGTTAATTAGACATGTATATCACTGTTGTGAATTTATACAACACACTTGGGGCAGCGCACCAACATGTATATAGAACAGGAGAAAACAGCATTTGGAGCAAAATTATTGTAGGGTTGACTTGAAGGTGTAAAATTACTCAACAGACTGGACCCAAGGGAGTAAATATATATTGAATATGCAAAAATAATTTCACTACCAAATGTAAATGAGAATTTGCTATGACACCCTTACAAGAAGACATCAGGTGAAGTTAAGCAATATTGGTCGTGGAGAGTAATTGGATGGGTGACCAACCGTCTTTATCAAGCTTGACTCCTGAAAGTGTCGAGGGCTTTGGTTCCGCCCCACACTGAAGCACATAGTAAATGTGGTGTCTCCTAAGGCAAGTGACTTCCTTCAAAATATGCCCAGCAGTGAATGGGTACCCAGTAGGATGAGATGGTTATGCAACTGTAACCTTTTAGTGCCTGACATGGTAGCATGGATGGTATAATAGAGGGAGCTGAGAAAGAAAATAGAGTGATCCATTGAACATGTTGAAAGTTAATGACAATGGATTAGTGCCTGAGAGCAGCCTGGTTGGAACTGGGTGTTGTATAAATAGATTATAATTGAACTTCATTGTTCTTCGTGTCCTGTCATGACCGAGAAATCTTTTTGTTGCAGCTGCACCATTCTATTGTGAAGTCCATGGCTGACCTGCCAGTACAGAGGTGCAACTCGGACACATGCTGCGATAGGCGATACCACTGCCCGCTCTGCTCCAAGACTAAGTACAGGCCTGGCCTGGCTAGGGAGCTCCGGGACCACTTCCAGGTCCACTGGAAGGGCCGTGTGGAGTACAAAGGTAACACGACTCAATTTACCGGTTGAAAAGCCAACCACTGAACCAGTTATTTCATGATGATAGCAGTTGTAGATGAAATGTGTTGGCAGCTCTTGTTTTAGTTATCTCCCCTTGCTCATCGATGGATTATCAAACATTTGGAGAAAGATGATAGATTACAAGGATTTATCTAGACGCGCTCTGAGGCAGCTATATGGCTGAAATAATGCTGATGCGACGTTAAATTTTAACTCACTCACTCAGAGGTAAAAATTCTGTCAAGTCTGCAGTAGTTACTTACATTCATACTGACTTAATGCAGGCATCATGTATACATGAACTCTTTTGCAGTGAAGAACTTTTCCCTTTTTGTAAGTTAGATATGTATCACTGTTATGAGGTCATGCGACATATGACTCACTTGGTGCAGCACATGAAGGCATGCTTTTTTTCTCGGAGAGGTCTACTCATCGTTTACAAAACTCATTGGACTTGACCCAAAAGAGAAAAATAATAACGAAAGCCCCCCTAAAATAAATCAATACCCAATGTGAATGATCCCATCTGAGTAGATACTCCTTGGCTCAAAAAACTATTTGAAGCCCAGACTGGAACAGTAGCAGGATGGAGATACTACACTCAATACAATACTCACAATCAGGAGCATTGTGCGATATAGTGATCATCTCTATCAGTCCGGGCTGGCTAGATAGTTTTATCAGAGGCCAGTTTTGGATTGAAGTAAACTAGTTGTTTTACACAATGAAATACAGGGAGCATTCTTGTAGCAGAAAGAGAAAACTTAAAGTTTGACCAAGGTTTGAACTACAGTCTGAGTGAGCATCAACAGGTTTCTGTCACTTGCAGAACTTGTGTAAGCTGGAAAACTAGAACTATTGTTGTTTTTAGAAATTGGTGTTATTTTTCATGTGAACATTTTTGTTTGAGATGAGGAGGAAGGTTTATTTATAATAGGTCACTAGTTAAAAAATTAAGCTAGCCTGTTGGGATACCTAGATTTTACATCCTATAGCCAGAAAGTAGCTAAGGACTACTGGTGAGGGGCTTATTTCACACATGCAAAAGGAAATGTTCAAGTTGTAAGGCTGCATCACAAGATTGTAGTGCTGCTGGGTGAAACAGACAGTGTTTTCCTATGGTATTTGATTCAAGGAACTCCCAACTGCTTTAGCTTTCACAGCGTTAGAAATTGGCACGAGTCCTGTATTCATTGCCAAACTGCCCAATAGTTAAGGTATCGTAAGGACTAGTTGAAATTTGCCATCTTTAAGGGTTTTGCTATATGTTATCATTATAAGGACTAGTGGACTGAAACTGTTAGTTTCTACTGTATTTCAACATTGGTGTTATGATAAGGACCTTTTACATGGTTTTTATCCCACATAGACAGGCAACCTGTGAAGATCCGGGGTAGAATATGTCTTCAGCAACCCATGCTTGCCCTGAAAGGGCGACTCTGCTTGTTGTAAGAGGCGACTAACAGGATCGGGTGGTCAGGCTTGCTGACTTGGTTGATGTACGTCATCGTATCCCTATTGCGTGTTGATGCTTGTATCAATCACTGGATTGTCAGGTCCAGACTCAATTATTTGCAGACCGCCATCATATAGCTGGAATATTGCTGGGTGCGACGTTAAGCAACAAACAAACAAGACATAAACAGGCAATCTCAGTGTACCTCTTGCTTCACAGAGTTCATCATCGTGAGCTGCAACAGCAACTGTCGAGATCGCCGCTCAAACCGAGCCTTCACACACTACCACTGCCCCGAGTGTTCTGAGTTGATCCATGGCAAGGAGGTATTTGAGACCCATCTAAAGACCTGCAGCGACATTCAGGCAACAGCGCCCCCTACCCCTAGCCCCCGGGGGCGGGGACGACCCCGCAAATCAGAAAGGAAGGTGGTGGAGACGACGATTGGTGCTGACACTGAGCCACAAGTAGTGATGATAGAGGAGGAGGAACCAGCACTTCCTGTTTACGAACCCCCACCCGTCCCAAAAGCTGCACGAGGCCGCATGACCATCTCATCCAGGGAGAAGGCAATGCTTGCCCTTGCTGAGTCATCAGATGATGATATGGGGGTAAGGTTTATAGTTTGTTGTCTGTAGGTTGTTTGACACTGCACCCTGTGGGGATTCTGGGATAGAAGTGGTCCCCAGCAACCTATATTGGTTGTTAGAGGTGTTAAGTGGATTGGGTGTCAGACTATTTGACTTGGTTCATGGCATGTCAATGACCCCGACAGCGTTGCCCACAATATCAATCACTGGATTATTTGGTCCAGACTCAATTGTTTACAGGCTGCCATCATATAGCTGGAATACATCTTCCCGAGGCAAGAGAGTAAACTGTCTTTAAAAGTCTTGTTTCCACCCTTGCCGAACTAAGCTGGAATTCCTGGGCTCAATTGTAGCGCCACCAGTGGCTATTATGAGTTATGTCCCTTCGATGCCTCTCCTATGGACCAATCAGATTCCACCTCTCGTATCACTTGCATTTGCTTCAAACAAAATGACGGCACCCAGTCAAGGCGATCTGATTGATAATCAAGATCTATATTGTTATAAAACGGGTCTTACATCGTGAAATGCATCAAATCATGTGGGTACCTTTATTAAAAACATGAAAAGATTAGGAAAATACCTGTTGACAACGAGTTGGCGGTGCTCATGCTTTACAAATCCTGCAGTCGACGGAAATCTGCATGACAGTTCACAAACTGGATTTCGATTTTGTTGAGCGATTTTGATTGGACTATGCAGAGACTTGTTAGTCCAGCCAAACTGTAACTCCATAGTACCAGCTGAGTTTGGCAAGGGTGGAAACTGGACTTTTGTAGTCAGTTAACTCCCTTGCCTCTGGAAGATGGCTGGAATATTGCCTAGTGTGGCGTTAAAGAACAAATATACTTCCACTCTAACAGTGCGCTGTTAGCCTGTTAACTGGTTGCTTTTGTGGTGATTCAAAGTTAGATTGGTACCTAGTAAATATGCTTGTAAAATTCAAGAAAAATAGATTAGGTCAACCAAGTGGGGTAACGGTAAAGAATAGGTTGTTGTAAGAGGAGACTAAATTTGATCAGGTTGACAGACTTGGTGACTTTGTTGATTGTGTGTCATCGTATCACATACATTGCTCATCATATTAACCACTGGTTTGTCTGGTCCAGACTTGGTTATTTACAGACTGCTGTCATATGGCTGTAAAGAATATTGCTGACTTCCCTGGGATCATTACATCCCAGTGTTTGTATCTTGTTCTGTAAAGGGGGCGGTCGGGTAGCCTAGTGGTTAAAGCGTTCGCTCGTCACGCCGAAGACCCGGGTTCGATTCCCGACATGGGTACAATGTGTGAAGCCCATTTCTGGTGTCCCCTGCCGTGATATTGCTGGAATATTGCTAAAAGCGGCGTAAAACCATACTCACTCACTCACTCACTCTGGTGTCCCCCGCCGTTATATTGCTGTAAAATTGCTAAAAGCGGCGTAAAACCATACTCACTCACTCACTCATTGTTGTGTAAAGATGGAGTGTTTCTGTTGCAGGCTTTTGACAAGGTGACGGCCATCATCTCCAAGAAGATCATCACGTCACTGGCTGCCAGCACCAGCGTGGAGGACGTGCTGGACGATGTGGCCAAGAACACTGGCATCAACTGGAGCTGGTCGCCCGGCACCATGGAACCTGTCTACGTCATGAGCGGCGACCTCATATCACTCGTCAAGGCCAAGCGTCTGCTGAAGGAACTCAAGGAGGTGGGCACTCTAGCAACACCATTGTCACCTTTTTCAGACAGCACGTGATTTAAACAGTGATTGATGTTGCTCTTAGTTTTAAACACTGCAGTCTTAGGCTGCACCAGTCCATTTTTACATGGACCAATACTTGTCTTGTCTTGTCAATGGGAAATCATACCCTGTACTGCCATGTTAAATTTAAACTGTCTCCATCTCACGAGTCTTTTACAACAGTGTTGGAAATCATGAAAGGCAACATGGTCATGGGATGCTTGTCATAAACCCTAATGATTGAGGGGTGATTAGATTTAAATTACAATAGTTACATTTTTAGCTCACCTGACAAAAAGCCAAGTGAATTATGTCGTGGAGCTTTGTTCATTTGTCTTTAGCTTTTACATTTGAGACATTACCTTTGAAACTATGACTATGAGATACATGGAGTTCAAACTTTGTTTAAATGTTATGGTGCCTGACATGAGTACTCACAGAATTCTGGTCTGATTTTGAACATGGCTGCCCTTCTTCCTCCTAAGTCAGGTGAGGTAGAAAGCCTTGTGGCTTTTATCTTACTGTATAACACCTTTCTGTATTGTTGCTGGTGTGAAGTGTATATGATCTGTGTCATGGATCAATCTGTGTTGTAGGAATACGAGACGCGAAAACTGCGTGAACTGGAGGAAGCTGAGTCTGAGATTGAAGACTACGAACCCCCGCTACACTTCGCAGCTTGTGAGTCTGAGTTAGATGTTCAATATTCAGTCAAATCATTCATATTCATTGATTTGTAATTATATGTACTTTTTGACTCTATACTTTTAAAAAAAGGGTTTTTGTCTAATGAAATGCTTAGTTACATTGTCCATGTTGTCAGTGAGATTGTATAATGTCAAATTAATATCGGTATTTGGAATGCTATAAAACAAGAAAGTAGTATGGCTACAGGCACAGTATGCAGGCAATACTCCTACAAGTTGCACCAGAAATACTTAATAGTTATTCTTTCCTTGGAGAAACTACAAACACTTAAGTTAAAGTGACAATTGTTAACTTCATCAAGGGACTTATCTAGACCTGCTTAGAGGATGATATTCACCCCTGGAATGCAGCAAATGTTAGTAACAATTCCCAAATTGGAATTCGGAAGTTTCTAAGTCATGTTATTTTCTTCCAACTAATGTTAAGCCTCTGCAAGAGGTGACTTGTATTTCATTGATAACAGGCCAATAAACAGGAAGAGCTTTAAGATGATTAGTTTTACATGAACTAAGGTTGCAGTGTTAGAATACTGCTGAACTTAAGAACACAAGAACTTTTGAGAATTATTTTTTTTCCAAGTTGTCTTCAAAGTTCACTTAGTGTGGAATCCAGGAATTTATTCACGATTCCCAAAAAATCGTTAATTTGCTCAAATTGGACAGTGAAATACATGTAACTTCTACAATTCCAGAACATTAGTCACTACTATATAACATGAATTGGGAAATTTGTAATTCCAATTTGGGAATTGTTACTGGCAGTTGCTATATACGATCAATAATCCAATAATTGTTAATCCACATTTCACCGCACATACTGATAACCCCCTGTCATCATCAGTATGTGACCTAGTACCCTGTGTGAAATCTGATGGTGTGATGCTGCTATCTGCCTATAGTGTGCCATCTGATCCTGACTCAGTCAATGTGTACTATTAATTTCAGGTGACTCCCCGAGCGAAGCGGCAGATGAAGCGCCAGTGGTGGTACCTGGGGAGATCATTCTTCCTCCTCCGGAAACCACCACCACCACGACAGTCCTGGCACCGCAAGGTCAACCGCTGCAGATGGTGGTGGACGCCGTGTCTGGTGTTGCTCAGATACAGGCTCCCATACCAGCTACCGTCCATCAGCCCACGATGGAAGACATAGGCAGCGGGGAGCTTCACATCTCGGCGGAAGAACATGTCAACCCAAATACATTCGACACAATTCAAGGAGAGCCTATTCTTACAGAGGACATTCTACAAAGGTCTGTCATCATAGCTTCCGATCCAAACAACATCATCACCTTGCCTCAGGTTTCAGTGGAGTCAATACCCCAGGCCTCTGTCAGTGATTTGCAGATGGGACAGAACTTTGCAGATTCTTTAATGGAGGCTGCTTCTGCTGAGCTGGTTGTTGAAGGGACGACACAACACCCGAGTGTTCAACTGTCCGATAACATCTTCCAACCAGACTTTGAAAGCACTGAAACCACAGTCATTGAAATGCCAGCTGTGGAAAGTAGTGAGATTGATACTAAGGTTGATGAGATCAGCGAAAACTTGACATCATTGAAAGATGTGAAAGAGAATACAGCAGGAGAAGGAGAGACTGATCATTCTACGATAGAAATTCCAACCAATATTCCTTCCTCAGAGACTGCTGCTGGTGTGGAGTTGCAGGAGAAGATATTTGATGACCAGGGCAGTAAGGATGATGTTAATAAAGAGAGTCCAGACGTCAAGGAGGATAGTGAACATGGAGAGGACATCATTATTGCTGAGTTGACACCTATAGAGAATACACCAACTCTAAAGAAAGAAGTCACTAATCTGACTCCCACCAAGAGTGAGGAGAGTAAGATAGTAACACCTTCTCCCAGAAAGAAAAAATCCATTCCAGTCATGCCTGAAAGAAAATACTCCACAAGGGGAGTGAAAGTAAACTTCACTGAACTGCACACTGGAAGGAAACAGACTGTGGTGGACTCCAGTGATGACGATATGGATGATGTACCAAGTCCCCCACAAAGAACAAGAGGTCGGGGTAGACCTCCTCGAAGCAGTGGCTTAGGTAGAGGTCGACCTCCAGGAAGAGGAAAGAAGAGAGGTAGAGGTCGTCCTCCAAAGAGGGGAAGAGGACGTCCTCCAAAAAGGCCAAGACTTGAAGAGATTGAGAGGGAAGAAGAAGAGGAGGAGGAGGAAGAAGAGGAGGAGGAGCAGGAAATAGAGGAACACTTTGATGAAGAAGATATGGATGATAATGATCCAGATTATGTATTGGTAGAGAGACACAAGAGCAATGGGGAAGATGAGGTTGAGCCAGGGGAAGAAAGTCCGAGGAAGAAATTCAAAACTATCCCTGCTCCAGTTGAGACTCACATTGCTGCCATGCCTGTTGTCAGATTTGCTGGACTACCTCGAGGACAGAAAGAAAGCAAGGCAGAGGAATCACCTCTTGACATGCTATTGAATTCCATCAAGACAGAGGTGATTGATCCTGATTATATGATCCCAGTGAGGACTCGAGGGAGGGGAAGGGGCAGAGGAAGAGGACGAGGAAGGAGGAAGATGGACTCGTTTGACAACATGTTTCTGGAGGAGGCTTTCAAGCCTCAACCCTGCATGGATTGTTCATTCCTAGCCGAGTCCTTTTCTCAACTGACAGATCATATGATAGAAGTACATAACATCACAGATCACTTGAGATGTGACATCTGTGAGAAGGCCTTCACTCGCCAGAAACACATGACGCATCACCTGATAATGAAGCATGGGCCTCTAGCACTGGCTGATGGGCAGGTGTATCAGCATGATGGGGAGGAACTGGGGAACAAGTGCAGCAGCTGTGGCTGGGAGGCACAGGAGTTTGCCGAACTCACGGATCACTACATCAACCATCATCAGGCTTACGACGTCCTCCGATGTGACGTGTGTGAAATAGTGTTTAAGAAAGCTCGCCATCGGACTACTCACCTCGACAATGTTCATGGACCACGCAACAGAAAGGGGACATTTGTATGTGATCTGTGTGGTCACACATGTGACAAACAGCGCTCACTCAACTGGCACAAGAGTTACGCCCATAACATGAGCACGAAGAAAAACCCTGATGTTTTGTACTGTAGGAAGTGTGACTTTGAAACAAACGAACCCGGTGAGATGAGGCTGCATAAGCGCACTCATTTGGAGGAAAGAAAGTGGTGTGATCTGTGCAAGAAATCATTTTCTGCCACAACAGACATGAAAACGCATATGCAAGCCGTACATCTGAAGACCAAGTCCTGTACTTGTTTGGTCTGCGGCAAGACATTCAGTCACTGGCGATACCTCACAGCTCACATGGAGCGACACAGCGGGGAGAGAAAGCACCTGTGTAATGTGTGCGGCCAGCGCTTTAGTAAAGCTGCCATTTTGAAAGAGCATATAGAGACTCACAAGGTGATGAGTGAGCGGAACTACAAACACATATGTCCATACTGCGACTCCCGGTATTATAGCAAAGACAAGTACATGGACCATCTAAATAAACACACAGGAGCAAAACCACATCGGTGTGAAGAGTGCAATAAGGGCTTCAGTTTCAGGAGCATGTTACTCAAGCATAGAATCTATGTACATACAACAGACCGCCCCTTTAAGTGTGACTGTTGTGACAAAGCCTTTAAGTTCAAGCAAATCCTCAAGAACCATATGGTCCTCCATACAGGTGAGAGTAAGTACATCTGTGATGGCTGCAAGAAACCGTTCTCCTGTAGCGCCACTCTGAAAACACATCGACCAAAGTGCCGTGGAGATCAGTCATGGCAGAAGCGCAAGTCGGGTGTGGCCAAGGCCGTTGCGGCATCAGGGCCACAGACGATGATGGTGCCGAAGCAGGAGTATCAGGAGTTGACGCAGCTGCAGCTTGACCCACAGCAGATTCAGCAGGTGCAGGTAGACAGTGCCTCCCTCCAGCAAGTTCATGTGGCGGTGTCGCAGCCAAACCTCACCCAGCTCGTTGACACCATCGTCGTAGAGATGGGCGATGGACAACGCAGCATCGTGGACCTCAATTCTCTTGAAGCTGCCACTCAGATGACTGAGACTGACAATGTGGCTACGGGTATTTACTTGTGTAGTGTGTGTAATGCTATGTTTGATACAGTCAATGCAGCCGAGGAACACATTGCCCAGGCACATGCTCCAGGCAAACAGGATGTTGAAGATGCTCAGGAGAAGTTGGAGCTGGAGGAGGTGATGGAGGCAGAAGCAGATGCCAACATCACCAATCTTATCTCAGAGCTTGAAACGAAGGTCAAGGCTAAGCTTGATCACACGCTCTTGGAGGGATTGAAGACAACGCAATAAGAGTGTCATGAGTTGTTTGAATTTGTTGGAATTCCAGTTATTTATTCTTTCTGTTCTTATCAACTTGTTACTTGTGCAGATGGTTTTCATTACAGCAATAAGTGCCCAAGATATTTTCCATCAGCACAAATCTTATTCATTGTATGTTTCTGTGGCTCTTGCCAACCCAGACCAGTTTTGTTAATGTTAAAGGTATCCTAAGGGCAGTTACAATTTCAAACGTTTTGTCATCACTGTTCGGTCTAGTAGACATTCTTGGCTAACTTCCACCTCTGCTGTAAGTTGTGTTTGGTAAAGACTAACACACTGAAACTTCACGAACTTGATATATCCTTACTACCGGTATGTTATTTTGTGGTCCCAGAAAAATCATTATCACTGCGGTTATATTTCACTGTGGTCACTCTGCTTCTGGTTAACTTGACATATTTATATTATGTCCCAATGATTTCAAGTTGCAAGGTTAAAATATGACAAGACAAAGGGTGAATATGTTTTCAAGAGATTGATGAGGTTCGTTGGACTCAAGTTGAAAGGAAAGACTGTCCGTATTAAATTAATAATATGATATCTTAGACTTCAACAGTGTGACTATATTTTACATTTGACATCAAATGACAACTTGGTACTAAACTCCTTGTGAAGTGATAACCTGACTCCCTTTCCCTCGAGTTTCTTGGACAATATATAAAGATCCATACATCCATACACCTGATGAGGGGTGGGGTGTGGTGGTGAAATAATCTCACTTTCAATAAAACATAGCAGTACATTTCAACTACAGGCATTGTCACAGACACAACTTTGTAATAATCAAGTAATAATAGCAATTGTTTTGTTCAGGATGGGAGGGTTATGGTTTACAGATAAGAGTTTGGGTGATAGAATACATGCCTAAAGAGGATATTTTTTTGTCCAAACAGTACAGTCAATCATACTAAAGTTGATTACTACCGGGTAATTCTTTTAGAAAATGATTAATTTTAGACCTCCTCAGATTATCTTGATATTCCTTGCTGCCTCAGTTGGGGGTTGGCATTGAGCATAGGTTGAAAACAGGTCCTCTAAATCATGTAAAATGAACGTGAAGCAAGCTAAACGTGGTAAAACACAGCTCTAGGAAATCATGCAGGATCACCATTTGCCTAATATTTGCTACAATGTAAAAGAGGTCCTGTCAGATTAATGGATGCAATTTTAAAGTATACATAATTTTAGTTGTTGAGGTGGTCTTGAACATGAATTGCAGCCCTCTTCACATGCTTAAGAATCATTGAATAATATGGAATATCACATATCATGTGCAGTATTACCTCCCTTTATGAGCCAGTGACCGGGTATAAATAATCATATGCTGCAGGATTATGAAGTAAAAGGTGTCCTGTTGTAATTCAAGGCCAGGCTTTTTTATTTCTTGGTTTACAGATTTTTGTGTGTAGAATATAATTGGTTTTGGATTAGATATAAAAATTATTAATTCCTTTTTGTCTTTTAATGGGTTTTTTTCTGAATATGTTGCCTTCTATGATATGTTTGTTTGCATGATCTTGCTTTTTTAAGTTTGATGGATCTGTAGACCAATTAAAAAATAGTATTGCCTAAATGGACTTCCATTCTATTTATCTGGTGCTATTTTCTGGTAAGACAAATGATTCTTACAATCAAATCATTTGAAAATGGAAATGAATGTAATTTTCCATCTGGTTTTACAAATTATTGTTAAAAGCCTTTTGTATTGGCATTCTGTGCATTAAGTCACTGAAGTTATTGGTTTATAAATGAAGCGTTTTTTAGTTGCCCCGAGTCAGATATACCAAAATTTGTGTGTGTGAAAAAGCCTTGTGATGCACGAAGTTGAAACCACCCAATTGTACAGTGTATATAGACAAAGAATGCAGGAATTCCATGGAGGTTCTCGATAAATCAAATATATTACTATGTTTTGGTGTTATTTTTTCAATCTGAGGATTGCTTAAGGTGAGTGTTTGGATTCCTGGGCAGATTAAGTTTTCAGTATCTCCTCTTCCTCCCCCCATGCATGTTGTAATGTGGCCATACATTTTCTGAGTTAAGTGATGGGATTCAACCACGGACCTTCTGATCCGAGATTGGATGCCTTGTCCACATGATCAAAGCCTTTAGCCACCTTCAGGAAACAAGGTAAACGATGTCGTCTGTGGGATGGCTCCAGGTCCTGCTACATTTGCATGTTGGACCAGCCGCCTGAGGTGGTTGAGGGGGTCTATATAACCCATGGCCACTGTGGGCATTATCATATTTGCCTCATGCCGATTGGCTAGTTCTTTCCAATTGTTTCATTGTTTGCAAGAGACACATTGCAACATTACTGAAAGGAACACATTGTCTCAAATACTTGAAGCTGACGTCATCTACTGTTCATGACAATGAGGTTATTTTCTAATGATGTTCTACCAATGCCTGTCAGTAATATTGCAGTCAGTCAGAAATCAAAGACTTTCCTTTTGTGGGCATGTTATTTATTTTGTGTAAGTGCTTCAGAACACCCTTTATTCAGTCTACAAATTCAGCCACTGGTCCGAAGCCAAAGTCTAATTAACTTCTGTTCAGTCTGGTTAGCTTGTGATAAACCATATTGTAGTCTAAAATCTACTGAAAATGATGCTTTGGGCCATGTTCGGACCTGTGACTCAAAAACTTTTGGGATGGACTGTTAAATGGTAAAATGTTTTTTGATTATTACTCATTTAGCACAGGTAATGATACATGCAGACAATTCAATATAAAAAAAATATGAACACCACACCAAATCAAGTAGAATATTTGTGCTTAATTGTTGGATGCATAAGGATTAGAAAATATCTTCTTCCCACCCATCCCCATTTTCTTTTGACTGTAGTATGATGTCAATGAATAGTGTATTAAAGTAGAGTCAGTAACAGTCCATTGTTATCTGGGTGGCCTGTAAATTGTCCCCTGGGTGAGACAAGGCACTCGTTGACTACATGAGCAGAGGGTAAGGTACTTCCTCTTATCTTGTCTGAGATAAGTGAAGATATGGATGATCTGCAGGCTTTTGTGTTGGTGTAGTGTATGCTGACAGTCAATTCTGTCAGTGCAATGCAGTATTCTATATTTGCTGTATGTTGACAATCAAGTTTATTTGTGAAGCCAAGATTCTGGTCCAGAAACCTATGATCATAGGTTCGAATCTGGTTTGGCCGGATTATATTATATGCTTGATAGCACCCTGTTTCAGCAAAGTGGTGAAGGTCTCCGACCTGCATCACCTCAGGCTTTCCTCCTACATTAAACTGAGAACGCAGTGATATACTGTTCAAAGCCCTTAAACCCAACCACTTTAGTCCATCCATGTGTTTTTATGTTTCTTATCCCCAACCTCAACCTGCAAGAGAGGGCGGGCTTGCGAAATAAAATGAAAAAAAACCCCTGTTTTTTCAGTAATTGTGTCACTTATCATATGACATTTTAATGTTTAAAACACTTGGTGCCAGTCCTTAAATAAATTCATGACGTAGTTTTGAAACTGTCGGAAACAAATTTAATTTTAAATAAATGGGCAACAAAACGGGGCAAAATCTGCCACAGCAGCGGGGAAAATTAAGATTCGAAAATGTTTCATTATTCAAGTCGAATTGAAAGTTCAGGACGGGCGGTAGATGGGTAACTTCATGTACTGAGCCGCGTGGGGATTCCGGGTCAGAATAGGTACTCGGTAATCATGCTTGTAAAACGCCCACTATACGAGTGATAGAGTACCACGATGGATCGTTGCTCATGTTTTCAGTCACTTATCAAGACTCGCTTATCTTCACTCACAAGTTGTTGTATATAGCCGTTCAACTTTCAGGTACCTTTGTGGGTTCGAATCCCGGATTCACCCACATTATTATCCAAGGTACGTTAGCACCTGTCCATTCCTGATGACTTCTCAAATGTGGAGAAAGTCAGCAACTATCGCCACCTGCATGCCGCTGCCCCTTCCTACAAGCTGATGTTACTGAAATACTGTGAAGTGCCACGTTAAACCAAACTCCCTGAGTGTAGATTTTTCATCCGCTCATACGCGATTCAGAATTGGTAGGATAGGATTATCTCGCTTTCAAGCTGTCACATTTTACGGCGTTGATCATTGCTCATCGTATCAATCACTGGCTCGTCTAGTCCAGACGCGATTTTTTGCAATCCGCTAAACAGCAAACAAACAAACCTGGTGACCCGCGCTGGAATATATAAAAAAGGGGTGGTGCAATACCCACCTTCTCTCAACTTGACGCTGAAATAGTATCACAAAATGTATTAGTTTCATCACAACAGGATGCTCACAACCTCTTCCCCAGACAATAGCTGTCCCAATCACCGTGTTCAGACCAGGGATGTATGTAGGTTCTTCAACTGTCGCTAGTCTAATGAGGTATGCCCTGCTAACATGTTCGCGCTCGTATGTAGTTGTGACGATGTGACAGCCTTGACGGTGTCGCCACGCACGTCCACGTTCAGGTATTTGCATTACTATTTAGATCCCCCCTCCCACGTCACGTCTTAACGGTGTGGTCAGTTGACTGATACAGTCGATGGACGCTATTACTTACAGAAACACGGCGCGTCAACACACTCACACTATTTTTTCAACAATTTCGTTTGACTTTCGTATTAGCACGAGTTCGAACCTTAGGAAAAAATGTGTCACGCCAGCTCGGTATGTTGGATGAGGCTATGTATGAATTGTTACTGTAGTTTACGCTGTGCAGAGATTGTAACAAATGTTTTGTTTTTAGTGTTAATTATGGGTTCTGAAAAACAAATAACGTTTTTTAATCGACGTAATACGCTGTGTTACTGACCCTTTAATATTCGGGGTTGGGGGTTATCGAAAAAAATAAAATTCTTAAAAAAAGTAATTATGCTTCAGACTTGCAAAATGAAATTGCCTGCCACTACAATGACTTTCTTGCAAGGTGTTTTTCTTTTTAAAAAATCAGGCTCATAGTTTTAAATAAAATAAATCTCTGTTTTTGCAGCTGTAGCTGAAAAAAATATATGTCTATGCAATTACCTACCCTCCCCCCCAACCCCCCCCCCCAAAAAAAAAACAACAAACAAAACAAACAAAACAACAAACTAAACAAAACAAAACAAAAACAAACACAAACAACAACAACAAACAAAACACACGCAAAACAAACACACACACACGGTCGCTTATGTTTATTGTTTATATGGAGACACGCTATTATCACCACGGATTAATATTAACAAATACACAATTAGCATGCTGCTGGCGTGTAGATCTATCATTTGTCCCATCAAATGCCAAATAGACACATACATTTCGTCCGTAAACGATGAGCGTTATGTTGGTTCGTTGCGTTTCGTTGATTGAAGTATATTCCCGTACAATAATGCTTATTAATTCTTATTCACGCTTCTAACTCACTGCTAAGATTAAATAAGATTAAATAAACATGTATAATGTATAATAAAAAGAAAATTAAATTGGGAATAAAGGCAAGTGGTAAGGATTTTTAAAATCAGTCAATTTATACATATTCTTTTGGTTTTAACAGTTCAAGCACAATAGGATTATTTTGATTTCAAGTAGAGTGTAATTGCCCTTATCCCAAGTCTTGATAATCCAGCGATGCCTATATCTAGAGTGTGACATTTAGTAACAAGTTGACAGACCGAGTCTCTCGCGGGGGACAGGCGCCAAGGTTATCACTAGGTCACGTGATGTGACACCCCGGCTTGACGTCCGGTCCGGTCCGACAGAACGTAGTACGGCGGGGAGAGAGAGTTTGCATAAAAAGCAGGACCGACGGAGTACGCCATCACTTGTCAACATGGCACTTCCCTGGAACACTTGTGGATTCCTGCTGCTGCTAGGTAGGTGAACACTAGCGTTAAATGAACGAACACTGTGGTACTCTCGGAGACTGTGTCCCTGAAGTCGCTTTGGGACTTAGATTTTTTGTCAGAGACAGGATTTTCGAATATACCGAGAACACATTCGGTTTACTCTTTGAAAGAAGAACCCGATCAGTTGTTTCAGGACATCCAGCATTTTTCGGGGGTTCCAGATTTGTAGGGGAACGATTTTTTAAAAATCAAAATAATGTCAGTTGACGCCAAACAATCCCCACCCTACCCCATATTTTGAGGCATTTTAATTTCGCCTGTTATAATATTTTGTGTGTTTTTAATGGTGCAAAAATAGGGCTTTAGTGAAGCGTTTGACTTCTCGGAGCTCAATACGTTAGAATTGTTAAAAGCATGTTTTGCAAGAATTTGACATCTAACGTTTTTTGTCGTTATTATTATTATTATTATTATTATTATTATTAATATTATTATTATTATTGAACAGTATTTCAGTTATGTCGTGGCGCGCCAGCTTAATTATTAAAGCAAGAATGTTGGTGTATGACGCTAATCTCTAAAGCTATGTTACCTGTAGTTGGACAACGCAAGCTTGAATTAGAAATCTCGGAATGAAGTCGGCTGTTTCAATGAAAGGCGTGTTACTGTGTTTGAAACCTTTGATTGACCAATCAGAATCGAGTATGTTCTAATGTCATTGTATGATTTTACCACACCATTTTACACGCGGTAGTTCTGGACCATCCTGTCAAGTGAAAAGATTGTCATCCTCCCCTCTCTTTTGCAGCCAGCACCGTCTCAGCCGGGTCGTGGAGCTCCTCTGCCCAGTCGAACTCTATCGAGTGTAATGAACACGGCTTCGCCCGCGACCCCAACGACTGCGGGGCTTTCTACAGGTGCGCCAACGGGAAGAACTACCGGTTCGAGTGCCCCGCCAATCTCAAGTTTGATATGACCATCAGCGTCTGCAATTGGCCTGCAAGTGTCGATTGTAGCTCAGCTTTCCCCGCCAACAACGGGTATGAGCCCCAGTACCCCTATGCCCCACCCCCTACATACAAGCCGCAGTACCAGGAGCCCGCCCCAACGTACGCCCCACAGCCCGTCTACACATCGAAACCAGTGTACAAGAAGCGCCCCAGGAAGCCTTCCTACAAATCACAGTCTGTGCCAATGCCTCAGCCAATGCCCCAACCAATGCCCCAGCCTCAGCAGCCCGTTTACCAACAACCCCAGAGACCAGTCTATCAGCAGCCAATGACCCAAGCTCCAGTATACCAGCAGCCAATGACCCAGGCCCCAATGTATCAGCAACCGATGACCCAGGCCCCTATGTATCAGCAACCGATGACCCAGGCCCCTATGTATCAGCAACCGATGACCCAGGCACCGATGTACATGCCCCAGCGGCCAGTCTACCAACCCCGGAAACCGGTCTACCGTCAACCAATGACACAGGCCCCGGTGTACCAGCAACCGACATACAAGAAGCCCACGTACAGCCAGAACAATCAGAACATGTACGCTCAGCAGCCCCAATACGGAGGCGGCATGAACGGTGGCATGAACGGCGGCATGAACGGAGGCATGAACGGCGGCATGAACGGCGGCATGAACGGAGGCATGAGCGGTGGCATGAACGGCGGCATGAGCGGTGGTATGAACGGCGGCATGAGCGGTGGATGGACTTCCCAAAAGAAGCAGTCAGGAGGATCTAACTGGGGCACGAAGAAGAGCTTATTCCCATCCAACATGAATCAGAACAGCGGTATGATGGGTGGTATGAACGGAGGTATGAACGGAGGCATGAACGGCGGTATGATGAGCGGAGGTTGGTCCACAGGGAAGAAAACAGGCGGCTATGGACAGAGCCTATTCCCATCACAAATGAATACCGGCGGTATGATGGGTGGTATGAACGGCGGTATGATGAGCGGAGGGTGGTCCACAGGGAAGAAAACCGGTGGCTACGGACAGAGCCTATTCCCATCACAAATGAATACCGGCGGTATGATGGGTGGAATGAACGGCGGCATGATGGGAGGCCACATGATGGGCGGCGGTATGATGGGAGGCGGCATGATGGGAGGCGGTATGATGGGAGGCGGCATGATGGGAGGCGGCATGATGGGCGGTATGAGCCAGACCACCCTCTTCCCTCCCTACCTTCCCCAGAAACCCAAAGCCAACAGTCTCCTGGGCATGCTGATGCAGATGCAGCAACAACAGAAGAACCCCGGCGGCGCCATGAGCCCCATCCTCATCCCCTACCCCTTCCCACCAGAGTGGTTCAAAATGGACTCCGAGACCACCACTATGTCCACGACGGAGGCAACGACAACAGCACCAGCCGGGGGCAAGAAGGGCAACAACATCTTCTTCATCTCAATGGTCCCTCCTATGTTCCCCCCACCGTTTCCAGGAGCTCCCTTGGACGGGCCTTGCGGAGGATTCCCTGATTCCCCCTTCCCCTTCAACAACTCCGAGCCAGCCTGCGGTCTCATCCGGGCATCTCTCGGCGCCACCAACCCCTTCGGCGGTGTTCCCGGTCTTCCTCCACTTTCGACCGCCGGCATCAGTAGACAGAATGCAGGTACGTTCCCCAGACACACCACCAGTATTAGCAATTTCTCATGGCCCTTTTCTCGGGTTAGATTCCCCTACAACCTGTGCTTGTCTTAATTGATCGGGATGTTAGGGTCGGCGACTTTATTGATAAGGCGTCAACGTTCCACGACGACGTGGATCATTGTTCTTAACATCAATCAACGGTTTGTCTTGTACAGATTGGAATGGAGAAATCATAAGAATCTTGTGGATTACGAAAGTAGAATCAACGAGTCTACAATTTTGCAAAATGACTTAAAGCTGCGTCATATTTACTAGTACTTGTTTAAATATTATTCAGAATAGCCAGTGAATTCCTGGCTCGGAATCAGCTGCAACAACAACAGACCCGTGAAGTTCCGGGGTAGAATAGGTCTTCAGCAACCCATCCTTGCTGTAAAAGGCGACTATGCTTGTCGCAAGAGGCGACTAACGGGATCGGGTGATCAGGCTCGCTGACTTGGTTGATACATGTCATCGATCCCAATTGCGTGGATCGATGCTCATGATGTCAATCACTGGATTGTCTGGTCCAGACTCGATTATTTACAGACCGCCGTCATATAGCTGGAATATTGCTGAGTGCGGCGTTAAACAACAAACAAACAAAGCAACAACAACAGCGCGACGTGTATCATAATGGTTAATGATGGTTTACATCCCTCCGTCGTATAGCTGGAATATTGCATTATACAACAAACAACCATTCTCCAGTTGCCATGGTGATGTCATGAGCGTTGTACCCCACCCTAGGTTGCCGGACCATCTCCTCAGGACAGAGGGCAATCGACCTCCGGTTCGTGGGCTCCTCCAGCCGCCTGTCCGGCCCCCAGTGTCTGGCCTTCGAGACGCTTCTCAACAGCTTCACCACAACCTACCTGGAGAGGACCGTCGTCCCAGACAACACCAGGAGCAACGAAGCCTGCACCGTCTCCGTCCCCGACATCAGGGTCAACTGTAACTAGAACTATGGTGTGTAATGTGTTCTACAGTGCATGCGGCTATCCTTGGTTGGTGGGATTATAAATTTTACTTGAATTCGTCAGTACGTAAACTTGAAGAAAAATCTGCGCCTTATTAGGACATAAATATGAAGAAAAATATATTAATCATCAGGTACTGATGTATTAAAATATTACTGTACGTGTCATAACGTATGATTTTGCGTACGTCAGTTATTTGGGGTCATTGAGTGAGTTGATTTGAACGGCAAGCAGATTGAGTACAAGTTGTTAGCTATAGGTTTGAGTATCCTCTTAAATCGAATATTGAACGCTGATCTTGATTCTTTCAGGTCGATGTCTCGTCTCATTGTCATCACACGTGGCGAGATTCTCGCGAGAGTCTCTTTTTCGCCTCTCACCGGAAATGTCGAGAATCTTGTTCTCAGGCCTCATCAGATATTGGGAGCGTCTTGCTCTCGCTTTACTTCACCTCCAACATATTTTGTGGTTGTGTGTATATTTATGTAAATAATAAAGTGTGGATGTCGTATTTCAGTGTATGTCTTCATATATTCACTTTACATAGTTATTGTATTCCTTGTGACTGGCTGAATGCACAATGTACCTTCGTCACTTGGGACGTGCGTCCCTGTTGTTTACATGTAGTGAATAGAACGTAGGCCAGGATATGTAAAATCGGTTGTTCGATTGCCTGGACGCGCCATACCAACAGACTTAATAAGACGGTACTTATGTGGCAAATGTGGTGTCTCCTTAGGCAAGTAGAATAGGTCTTCAGCAACCCATGCTTGCCGTTAAAGGTGACTATGCTTGTCGTAAGAGGCGACTGACAGGATCGGGTGGTCAGGCTCCCTGACTTGGTTGATGCATGTCATCGATCCCAAAATGCGTGGATTGATGCTCATGATATCAATCACTGGATTGTCTGTTCAAGACTCGATTATTTACAGACCGCCGTCATATAGTTGAAATATTGCTGAGTGCGGCGTTAAACAACAAACCATCAAACCATCCTTAGGCAAGTGATCTAGTTCGAAATGTGCCACTGTAAAAATGGGTATGGAAGGACCTGTGACTGTTAACATGATCAAGCACCAGGCAAGGCAGCGTGGGTTGTATGAGGGAGCTGAGATGTAAATAGAGTGCACATCCAATGACCGGGGTAATAATGTCAGCGTGCACCGCGCGCATGGAGGCTAGCTCAGTATCAGTTCCCGTATTATGATTCTGATTATGTTATAATTTACCCTTCCTGGCGCTCGGCATTAAGGGGATAAAAACAAGGAATAGTCGGCTTGGAGTCAGTATACTGTGTGGAACGTGCATAATTCCGAATTAGTACAAGCAACTACCCCCATTTCACCTCACCAAATCACTTGGGGTAATTGAATTCAGGACCACCACTGGGTCCTGATGCGTTCAATGAACGTTGGTGCGCTTTAGAGAAACTAAATAATCTGTGTCTTTGTAAATGTTATTTATTGACTCAGGCAAATATGAATAGACTCAAGTTTATGATGTTTGCTTATGATTGTTTAACTGCAGAGGTTTATTCTGGCCAAACATGCAGGTAAACATGTTATCAAAGTAGCTTAATGCCCGATCTGAGAGTCACTCCCCCAAAAAACGCAACTGAAAAAATAACGAGGAGAATCATATTTTGGTGGTGTTATCAAAATGAAACCAGGATTCTAAATCCATAACAAAACAAACGGAGAGGTTTGTGCTGGTGGTTAACAATCGAGTACTAAACTCGTCATTTATTGTCACTATACGAATCCCAGTTCGCCCTGATTATGTTTCTAGGTTTGTCAGCACCGTACCCGTGCACGTGGGTTTCACCGAAGTGGTAAACGTCTGGGACCTGCGTACTCACTCATAAAGGGAGGTAAACAGAGGGCAATATGATGTAGCGTACAGTAATTGTATTTTACGAACGCATCATTTACCTTAACGGATCATTCAAAGAGATCCGGTTCTAATTCCATTGAACAGGAATGCCCATTCCTGTTTCAAAAATAAATATAAAAATTAAATATGAAAACCGAAATCGTATGATCATACATCACTGGTTTGTGAATTCGGAATGAGAGTCACTTGTGTGATTAAAAATGTCGTTTCTGATCGAAAGTCCGGTGACAGATGACATTGCATTGCCCAGATATGGTGAAATATGTTTTTTTATTACCCACAGGGGCAAGGATACAGGTGAAAGTATTTTCAGTAACTCTCAATGACCGTTATAATTCTGCTGCATGCTGATTCATTGCAGTTGTTCATTGTTTTCAATGTTTGCGTAGAATCGTGAACGCTTTGTTGCAAATAAGTGAAGATGTTGCATTATTGCGCTGAACTAGGTCACCGATTCAATAAGCAGTCGTTGACTTATTTATTTATAGGCATTGACTTGAATATATTTTTCGTTTATGGAGGTATAAACGTAAAAACCCGTCTACACACTTAACGTACATCCGCTATCCGTCACTTTAATCTACGAAAAAAGTACTGCTAACCAGTTTCAGAGGCAGAGAGATTCGTGATGTCAATTGACCAATTTTACACAAGCGAGATCTCCCGTTAAAGCCAGTTTTATATGATAAAATTAGTTTTTGTCTGACACGTTTGAGTGTAACATTTTGCTGTTGTAATTTGCAGGTCATGTGATGTTTCTCAAGACTCTCTTTTCCACTCTATTGTAGTGAGTGAGTGAGTGTGAGTTTGGTTTTACGCCGCTTTTAGTGATATTCCCGCAATATCACGGCGGTGAACACCACTACTCTGTTGTAGGATTGCAAATGATAATTAGTACATTAGAGCTGTGTTCAAATGACAATCACCTCAGAGTAAATGTAGTTGAAAACCATGTTTTTTCACTTGGAATAAATGGTATTTTTGTCATTAACACTTAGAATGGTTGACATCTAATCATCATTTAGTCATATCATTTGCCGGAAATATGTCATGGAATAAATACGTTTTGAGCGCTCTGTTGCAATAAATATAGGATTTATTGGTGTTATGAAATGTTAAGCACATGTTAAACCTTTGCGTCATCAGTGAGTGAGTGAGTTGGGTTTAACGCCGCTTTTAACAGTGTTCCAGCTCTATCACGGCATGTCAGCTTAATGTGGGAGGAAAGCCCGAAGTGATGCAGGTCTCAGACGTTTACCACTTCGGTGAAACCCACAAGCACGGGTATGGTGCTGACAAACCTAGAAATATAATCGGGGTGAACCGGGATTCGAACCCACAATCATGGGTTTATGGCGTGCCCAAGGGACGCACAGCGAATCGCGGCGCCTTTGACGACTGGGTCACCCGTGCCCCCGTCCGTCATCAGATGCTTTCTTTATCGCCTTTGACAAGTCGCCCGCAAAGTGAAGTTTTGGGAGATCAGTATGTTGGTAGTATTAATATTTTTTTAACGGGACCGCCTCCGTGGTCTTGTGGTAGAGCGTCAGCCTTGAGAGCGGAAGATCCGGGGTTCGATCCCCGGCCGCGTCATACCAAAAGACGGTTAAAGATGGCACTTGTTGTTACCCTTGTGTTGTATGACAACACGTATCACGGCGACCTGGGACGCTGTTCTCTCACTGTAAGAACAACCCACTCAGCCTACTGTTGTATGACAACACGTATCACGGCGACCTGGGACACTGTTCTCTCACTGTGCCTACAATACACTCAGCCTGCTGTTGTATGACAACACGTATCACGGCGACCTGGGACGCTGTTCTCTCACTGTGCCTACAACCCACTCAGCCTGCTGTTGTATGACAACACGTATCACGGCGACCTGGGACGCTGTTCTCTCACTGTGCCTACAACCCACTCAGCCTACTGTTGTATGACAACACGTATCACGGCGACCTGGGACACTGTTCTCTCACTGTGCCTACAATACACTCAGCCTACTGTTGTATGACAACACGTATCACGGCGACCTGGGACGCTGTTCTCTCACTGTGCCTACAATACACTCAGCCTACTGTTGTATGACAACACGTATCACGGCGACCTGGGACACTGTTCTCTCACTGTGCCTACAACCCACTCAGCCTACTGTTGTATGACAACACGTATCACGGCGACCTGGGACGCTGTTCTCTCACTGTGCCTACAATACACTCAGCCTACTGTTGTATGACAACACGTATCACGGCGACCTGGGACACTGTTCTCTCACTGTAAGAACAACCCACTCAGCCTACTGTTGTATGACAACACGTATCACGGCGACCTGGGACACTGTTCTCTCACTGTGCCTACAATACACCCAGCCTACTGTTGTATGACAACACGTATCACGGCGACCTGGGACGCTGTTCTCTCACTGTAAGAACAACCCACTCAGCCTACTGTTGTATGACAACACGTATCACGGCGACCTGGGACACTGTTCTCTCACTGTGCCTACAATACACCCAGCCTACTGTTGTATGACAACACGTATCACGGCGACCTGGGACACTGTTCTCTCACTGTGCCAACAACCCACTCAGCCTACTATTGTATGACAACACGTATCACGGCGACCTGGGACACTGTTCTCTCACTGTGCCTACAACCCACTCAGCCTACTGTTGTATGACAACACGTATCACGGCGACCTGGGACACTGTTCTCTCACTGTGTCTACAATTCACTCAGCCTACTGTTGTATGGGGACGGTCGGGTAGCCTAGCGGTTAAAGCGTACGCTCGTCACGCCGAAGACCGGGGTTTGATTCCCGACATGGGTACAATGTGTGTAGCCCATTTCTGGTGTCCTCCGCCGTGATATTGCTGGAATATTGCTAAAAGCGGCGTAAAACCATACTCACTCACTCACTACTGTTGTAGTTCTCTCTACTGTTCTCTCACTGTGCCTACAACACAATCAGCCTACTGTTGTATAGCAACACATATCAAGGCGATCCACCTTTGAACACACCGTCACACCTTGAAAAGGAATTTCCAGAAAATAGATTGTTCAATTATTAGTCGAGGGTGATATCTCATGTGTAAGTGAGTGAGTGTGAGTGTATGAGGTTTTACGACGCCCTAATGTGACATGAAATGATTTAATCGCAAGAATAAACCATGCCTACTCTCTGCCCCTATTTATAGAAGTGAATGAGTGACACACTGTTCTATTATACCTCTTTAGTCCAACAAGAAAAAGATGGTGGAATCTCACAACAACGTCCAAGAACCAAATACCTCACATCCTACAATCCACCAACCCATACAATCTCACCTTCAGTATCTTGGAACGTGAAGCTCGCTTAATTCGTTGAAGATAATCATGTTCCATTCTAAAGCCAATATATTATATTTAATTCCGGTTTATTGTCGCTTTGAACGGTGTACCAGTGTGAGAGAGAACCAATTGTGACGAAGGAAATACACGTTTCGGTGAAACCTACGAACATGGGCAGTATGGCGCTGAGAAACACACCGGGGTCAAACCCACGTGCATAGGAAGTATGGCGCTGACAAACCAATCGGGACGATACCCACGTGCATGTGTAGTACGGCGCTGACACCCCCATCGGGGTCCAACCCACGTGCAATCGTTAGTACGACGCTGACAAACCAATCGGAATGATACCCACATGCACGGGTTGTATGGCGCTGAGACACGCATCGGGGTCAAATCCACGTGCATGGGGAGTACGGCGCTGACACACCAATCGGGATGATACTCACGTGCATGGGTAGTATGGCGTTGACAAACCAATCGGGATGAAACCCACGTGCATGGGTAGTACGGCGCTGACACAGCCATTAGGTGAAATCTACGTGCCTGGGTAGTATGGCTTTGACATGTCTATAGTGTGGAACCCAAGTGCTTGGGCAGTACGCAACGACTAGCGCCATGATCACTGGGCTGACCGGACCCCATCTGTTAGGTGGTACACAGCTGACACACCCATCTGGGTGAAACCCACGTGCATTGGTTAAATGACGCTGACAAACCCATCTGGGTCCAACCCAGGTACATGGGTTTTTGTATGGCTATGGCACACCCAGTGGTCAAACCCACGTGCTTTTGTAGTTTGGCGCTCACACACCTATTGTGTGAAACTTAAGTGCATGGGTAGAATGCAACGAATTGCGGCACCGTTAATCACCGGCTTACCGAATCCCTTCTGTTGTTACGTTAAGGCTAAGGGAATGGTGTTTAACGTCAGGGTTAAAGATTTGTGCACCAACATAGCGACATGCATGCGTGTTTACGAAGTTCCAGTGGATCTTTATCCTTGAAATATATACATAACGCAAGGAGGAATCGAATTTGCAAGAAGCTGAAAAATATTTTCCGAGAATATCAAGTGCATAGGATCCTGTCGTATACCGGACGTGTTTTGTCAAATTGCATTTTACTCTTGTACTAAGTAAGGTAAGGTGCAAGTGTACTACACAGATGACAGAAAAAGGATAGAGTTAGTAAAATGGGGTATACGGGTACGACGTGCATGTGTGTGTGTGTTTGTGTTTGTGTGTGTGTGTGTGTGTGTGTGTGTGTGTGTGTGTGTCTATTTGAACTGGTCAGGTTTTATAGTGCTAGCCCTCTGAGATACCGAGCCGCAGTTTAACATGGACACCACACTCAGGCACAATGTACACAATTTATACAGGTACCACTTACCATTGGATTACGGCGGACTCGAGATGATGTTGGTGTCGGAGACGATGTTGTTAAAGATGTTGGTGTCGTGAACGTATAGCTGTCACTGATTACTGCGCCACGGTGTGATTCATGGTTTTACTTCCCACGTTGTTACACCATACACTAATTATCAATCTAATTGGAAGTCAAATATGACACCTTCTTTATTATGATATCATATCTCCATCCCCCATTGTATGTCACGCAGTCGCTGTGACTTCATTCAGCGTTCAGACAACAACATGGTGAATTACAAGCAGCTTTGTTTCATGTTTCCTCCTTGTAGTACGACTTAGAAGCGGTGTCACGTGGTCTTGTTGACACAGAGGTCAGGGTTCGTTTGTAATTCCCTTCTACTGGTACAGAGCAGCAAATCCTCCGACGTCGTGTAAAGCGGTGTCCTTGACACCTTGGCGTAAACGCCAGAGAAACAGGGACTAGCCTCGATAGCGGACTCCGGAGTTCCTGTTGACGCGGAGGTGTGAAGAATTGTAGTTACTCACTAATGTTGTTGTCGGAATAATCTCCATGTTGACGACAAAAATTGTTAAAAAATTATTAACTTCCTTTCCTCCACATGCAAAAAACAAACGTGTATCAGACCCACCGAAACAGGAAACTGTGGCAACGTGAAACAGCTTCCGTATTCAAAGCATAACTACACACACCCGTTGTCATAGTGATTTTTATTTCCGAATTTTTTAGCACGTAAAATATCCATCTGTATTCACAAATAAAGTAAATAAAAATAGAAGATTTAATAAAATCTTATTACAATTGTTCGCCTAACATCAGGCCCTTAACCATCTCCGCGACATCGAGGCCATGAGCGACCCGGAAGACAATGGTCAGTGATGGGCGGGGGCTGATCGGCTTGATGGTCAGTGATCACGTGACGGGCTCGTTTTGGTCTTATAAGAGAAAAAATTGATGAGACAAGTATAGTAACCAAGTCAACTACTGGTCGTACATCATGATGGACACGCAGAGGAGGCACTGGCTTTCTGTCATAGGTGAGTTCTGAGGACATGTATACTGGTGTAGTGCCTTCTGTTTAATCAGAAAACAAATAACATCTCTAATGACTGAACTTGTAACAGGTCCGAAGGAACAGAGGGGTGGGTGAGGGTTTGGCGTCGGGGGTGGGGGGAAGGGGAGAGGTATATTATATGAGCTTTTCTTGGAATGATTGCACATTAACTATTTGGAGACAGTCAAGACATCATTACACATAACAATTTTAGTTAATGTTAACCTGAACCATTAAGGTTACTTTCATCAGAACCTATGATTGTGGGTTCGAATCCCGGTTCGCCCCGATTATGTTTCTAGGTTTGTCAGCACCATACCCGTGCTCGTGGGTTAACGTCTGAGACCTGCATCACTTCGGGCTTTCCTCCCACATCAAGCTGACACGCCGCGATATAACTGGAATACTGTTAAAAGCGGCGTCAAACCCAACTCACTCACTCACTCACTCACTCAATTTCATCTGAAGTTATGCCCGTAGCTCTAAGCTTGCAAGCGTGAGGCAGGATGACATCGCTTGCTGAAACCATTAAGCTGTTTAAAGCACGACAGTTTTGGATTTTCTTTGCCGATGTTATCACACTTTGAGAGTGACGATTTTATTAGATCGATGTACAAACTTAACACATTTCGCTGCCCTGTCCTTTGGGGACATTGTAGACTAAACTCACATACTCATGTGTTAGAAGGCATACATTTACTGGCACAATTCGAAATTAGTAATTACATTAAACAAATGAAGTTATATAAGTTACTTTTTATTTGACAAATAATCCATATTCCAAGCACGGATAACATTAGTGTCATCGGTCCCCTCTTCTCTTGCCGGGAATGTACAGGGCTCCCGTATCCATTGCTTGTCACAAGGTCTGACTGAAGAGATTCGGTAGGTCAGGCTCAGTGACTTGGCAACATGTGTCCTCATGTCCCGAACGCGTGGATCGTTGTCACCGCTTCTGTCTCGGATTTGCCTGGTTCAGACGATCAAGGGAGGCATGGCAGAGCTAAAATACTGTTGACTGTGGCGTTAACATTCACTCACGGGCAGACCCTTATTGTACGATAGCGTCTTCAAGTTTCATCGGTTGTTTCCGATGCTGCTCGGGGGAACAACACTGTGTTGTCTTCATGTTCTGATTTTCCCTCTTATGAATATTACACAAAGGCCAAGGAAACATATAACAGTAAACTACGTTTATAACGAACACGCTTATAACGAACTAAGGTTATAACGAACTAAGATTAGTGGTCTTACAACTTGTAAAATAGTTTTTCATATAAAATGTCTCGTTCATGGTTTTCGCAGGTATAGTCCTGGCTGTGACATGTGCTGTGACTGGACAACGGGCAGGGGGCACCTGCACTGAGGGTCTGGCTGCAGACCCCAGCAGCTGCGAGGCCTTCTTACAGTGCGCTGGAGGCAGATATGTACGTCTTGTGTGTCCTGCTAACTTGAGGTTCAACTCAGCAACAAGCGAGTGTGACTGGCCATCCAAAGTCCCCTGCAATAATAATGCACCCAGAAGGACCTTCTCTCAGCCAAGACAGCAACCAATGCAAAGACCCATGCAACAGCCAATGCAACAACCAATGCAACAGCCTATGCAACAGCCTATGCAACAACCAATGCAACAACCTATGCAACAACCAATGCAACAGCCTATGCAACAACCAATGCAACAACCAATGAAACAACCAATGCAACAGCCTATGCAGCAACCAATGCAACAACCAATGCAACAGCCTATGCAGCAACCAATGCAACAGCCTATGCAACAGCCAATGCAACAGCCTATGCAGCAACCAATGCAACAGCCTATGCAACAACCAATGCAACAAGCTATGCAACAGCCTATGCAACAACCAATGCAACAACCAATGCAACGACAAATGCAAAACATGCAACAGATGCAACAGAAGCCTAAACAGGAGAGTTGGAAGAATCAGCAGTCGTCCATGAACCAAGGCATGAGGATGGTGAATACCGGCCTGATGGGAGGGATTGGGATTGATAGTGGTATGATGCCCATGAATGGTGGTATGATGAGCGGAGGAGTTGGCATGGAGATGAGGAGCATGAACACCATGGGTTCCGGAATGATTGGATCCGGGGTGACACTCTTCCCACCCTTCTTGAACATCCCCTCGAAGAAGACGTCTTCTAACAGTATGGGCATGAACTCTGGTATGATGAACTCTGGTATGATGAACTCTGGGATGATGAATTCTGGGATGATGAACTCTGGGATGATGAATGGCATGATGAACGGTATGATGAATGGCATGATGAGTAATGGGAATAGTCAAAAGAAATCCAACTCCCCAATGAGCCCAATCTTGATCCCATATCCATTCCCTCCCGAGTGGTTCGGAGGTAAGAAGACGACGACGTTATCCCCCACCTCCAGCACCACCAACGCCACCACCACAACGTCAAAGAAGAAGGGCAACAACATCTTCTTCATCTCCATGGTTCCCCCTATGGTGCCAGTGGACCCCCTCCTTCCACCGTGTCTCCTCACCTCCTCCTGCTCCGGGATGCCGTTGTGTAATGAGACGAGAAGCAGCAACTGTGTCAACCCCACCCTTAGCAACCTTATCTTAAGAGGCAGCAACACCAGGACGTCTTTCCAGGTCAGTCGGTCAGAGATACTTTTTATTACAGTGGCACGGAAACAGCATCTGGCTTATATCTTAAAACTTAATTGCCTATAAAAACTCTATATTGAGCACATGTTCTCATGCTTTGGCAATATTGATCTTAATCTTGCTATATCCTCTGAAACAAACTTACCTTTGTGAAGATGTTAGAATCGATCTCCAGCAACCCATGCTTGTCGTTAGAGGCGACTGACGGAATCGAGTGGTCATTCATGCTGACTTGATTGATGCATGTCATTGTATCCCATTATGATTTAGGAGGCTGGATATTATGGCAGATAATTTCTTATTTACTCAATAATCTGAATTATAATTATCTATTTATAAGCACCCCCACCACCACAGAATATCAAATGGTCGGCTAACGTCTATTTCTGATGTGTATGTGAGATTCATTGTGACCACGCAATCCTCATTTGAAAAACAGTTCCTAAACCGACGGCACTATGGACATGTGATTTACGTTGGTTGTTGTAGGGAGCTTCGTCCATAAGCAACAGTGCAGGGCTCAGGGTCGGTGCAGGGCTTGGTGGTCTGAGCGGCTTCGGTGATCTGAGCGGTCTGAGTGGTCTGCCTGGACTGAGTGGCCTTAGTTCCATCCTTCAGCAGACCGGAAGTACAGGTCAAGGTCAAGGTCAAAGTAAGTGATGACTGATTGAAATTTCGTAAAATATCCTCACAGACACACCTTTTACAAATTGAGTGAGTATGGTTTTACGCCGTCATTCCCAACATTAGCTATGTCACATCCGGCTAACCAGAAACTGAAACTGCCTGGTTTTCAAAGTGACAAATGGCTTTAACGATAAGACTACATTCTGTACTTTTTATTGGAATAGCAAGTTGTCCGATGCTGGTGAAGTTATATTTTAAAGACCGCCTCTAAGTGGGTAGAGCGTCTGTCTAGGCGAGCGGAATGTCGGTGGTTCGATCCTCGGTCGCGTCATTCCAAAATACGTAAAGGCGCTCGGCATTAGGGTGTAAAACAAGGACTGAGTCAGTGTACTGTGTCTGCGTGGGGTCTCAGGGGGCTAGCACTATAAAACCAGACTCGTGCATGCAGCCACACACACGCGCATGCACGGCGCTACATAATTGAAATAATCTTAAACATGCCGTTGAACCAAATTTCACCTCTATATATTTAAGTTGACTCAATGTAGCTACCTAAATAACGTAGCATTAAATATCACAACCACCACATGGGATAGCCCAAGGGAAAGTGTTTTGAAGGAAATTCTTTCTTTCGGGCTTTCGGGCTTCAGAAACAATGTACATGTGCCTCTGCGGAGGTGTTCCAACAACCAATATTGAGTGATTTTACGTCACTTGTAGCAATATTCCAGCAATATGTCGGTAGCGTTCATCAGAGAGAGAGAGAGAGAGAGAGAGAGAGAGAGAGAGAGAGAGAGAGAGAGAGAGAGAGAGAGAGAGTTGGTTGTCAGCACCACATTAAGCTGTAAGCTGACACGCCGCAATTTAACTGGAATATTGTTAAAAGCGGCGTTAAACCCAACTCCCTCACCAGTAAGTGAGTGATTGGATATGGTTTTACGCCACTTATAGCAATATTTCAGCAATATCACGGAGGGGAACACCAGAAATGGGCTTTACACATTGTACCCATGTGGTGAATCGAAACCGGGCCTTCGGCGTCATGAGCGAAAGCTTTAACCACGAGGCTACCCCACTGCCCCGGCGTTCACCAGAGATGGGCTTCACGCATTGCATCCATGTGGAAAATAAAAGCCAAGACTTGTGACGATTAAACTGTTATTGCATTGGGGTAAATATTTTGTGGCACCTCTTTTTACAGACTGCCGTGCTGTAAGGAGCGGACGGGTGGAGATCCCGATTACCTCCCTTGGTTCCAATCGCGCATGGACGACAGAGGAATGTCGGGCTATGGAGAGTTTGCTGAACGCTGTCATCACAACTTCGGCGGAAAACCAGTCCGGCCAATCGTCCCAGGGACGCCAAGTGACGCAACGTTCTGCCTGTACAATCACAGTCCCCAGCGTCGCAGTCAGATGCGCGTAAACATCTCGCCGACCCCCTCTGGTATCAGGACAACGGACATGCGCAGTTACATGCATCGGAAGTTGTAGACAGTTTCCGTGGTTTCTCCTCGTCGTGAGCTGATAGCATCACACTTTGTACTGAGAAGTATCACAACGGATTATTGAAAACTAATAGTTCACCATATCTACATGAAGGAGTACAGTTACCAAGTTGAGCCCCACATCTAAAAGTTCTATATGTTTATTGTTTAACGTCACATTCAGCAATATTTCAGCTGCATGACAGCAGTCTGTAAATAATAACACAATCCATACACGATACATTACGATTACATGCATCAACCAAGTCAGCGAGCCTGAACACCCGATACCCTTAGTCGCCTCTTACGACAAACATAGTCGCCTCTTACGGCAAGCATGGGTTGCTGGGGACCTATTCTACCCCGGATCTTCACGGGGGATACAACTCTCGTCATTTTGCTGAAGAAGGATGTCAGTTAACATATTACGTTAAGATTTGACCCAGGATGTGAAACACTTGAGATAATTTTGACAATGTCTATTGTTCAATAAGTTATCATCTTGCAGAAAACGATAGCACCTCGAAATGTATTCCCAAGAAGTGAAAACGGAATTTTATACAATAAGAGTTCATCTGTGACGTCAGTGATCACGTGACATGATAGTAAACCCAATAACGACGTCAGCAACACTCTCAAATACCACGTAACAAATGCTCTTTACACAATAAAGCAAAACCCTGAACCAAGGCTTACTCCCCTCCCATATAAATGGATACGTCCAACCTCGGCACGTGAACATAGAGGGTACTTGCGAAAACAAAACAACCTGTTGAAACCATGGACAAACACGGGTGGCAAAAGTCGTGATATCAACACACGCATTGTCTCGACTGTGACTCCTGACAGGCTGCAGAATCAATGTTCACGACTATTACTTACACATTTATGTTAAAATATTGTCTCGACCGATGCATGTAAAACATAGTGTCTTTCTGTATATTTTTCTTTGTATTTATTTCCAAATAAAAATGAAATCTGAAAGCTTGTTGTGTTTATTGTGATTTGCTGGGTGCCTTTGAAGAAACCTATTAACATATAACTGACAATACCCGTACCTTGTCGTTAATTGAACGGATGCATAGATGCCGTCTGAGACGCTGCAGTTCGCTGTAATGTGAGTTACGTGCCATTGCCGTATCAGAATCATATGATCTCAAGTTCGAAGGTTTGTCAGCACCATACCCGTGCTCCTGGATTACAACAAAGTGGTAAAGGTTTAGGTCTGGCGTTCCTCCTGCATCAAGCTGACACGCCGTGACTGAAATACTGTTCAAAGTGGCGTTAAACTCAACACACTCACACAGTAACTGAGGCCATGAACTGAGCATGCACATCGCCTGTATAGATTGTCTTCGCATTTAACTGACCTTATGTTATTAAAGGACAATGTGGCAATTTATTGTTTTCATTTAGTTTCAGTTTCCTGCAGGATGAACGTCATGTTTTCAAGGTGAGATTAAGTATGGACATGTGGTCAAAGGGGACAGTCAGTCTGAACATGGCTCAACTTGACGGGAACCAGGATGGGGGAGGCGATACATCGCCGTTGATCAAAGTCTCTGAGGGGGCACGGGTGGCCCAGTCGTCTAAGGCGCCGCGATTCGCTGTGCAGAGTTGCGTCCCTTGGGCACGCCAGAAACCTATGATTGTGGGTTCGAATCCCGGTTCGCCCCAATTACGTTTCTAGGTTTGTCAGCACCATACTCGTGGGTTTCACCGAAGTGGTAACCGTTCTGAGACCTGCATCACTTCGGGCTTTCCTCCCACATTAAGCTGACACGCCGTGATGTAACTGGAATAATGTTATAAACGGCGTAAAACCCAACTCACTCACTCACTCAAAGTGTCAGAAGTCTGGGAGATAAATTCAGAAACTTCAGCCATGGAATATACCGATTCTGTTGCGAACGTGAAGATTCGGGGTACAATAGGTCTTCAGCAACCTGTGCTTGTCGTAAGAGGCGACGAACGGATTAGGTGGTCAGGCTCGCTGACTCGGTTGATGCAAGTCACGTATCCCAACTGCGTGGATCGATGCTCATGATGTCAATCACTGGATAGTCTGATCCAGACTCGATTATTTACAGACCGCCGTCATATAGCTGGAATATTGCTGACTGCGGCGTTAAACAACAAACAAAATGTTGCTTACTTACTGGACCTGTGCGAATAAACTTTACACATCACATGCTGTGAACTCCCAGGCCCTGGGTCAGTGAAGATAAAGTGTATATTGTGACCTCCCATGTATGAGTTTTTGTTATTCAATCTATGATATTAGCTAAATATATCAAATCACTTGCAATGAATAAAACTGTTCTGATATCCACAAACTATCGTTATTTATCTTCACACCCTTCTACTCCACATGGTTAATAATGAACAGCTCTGTTTTCTGACAGAGTATCTCAAAGTCCCAATCCGTCGAATGTTATTGAATGAACAGTGCCGATACTTTCTTATTCTCAATTTCTAAACGTAATAGTAATTAATATACAGAAGTAAATGAAATTATCACACCACAAATCATGTTTTATAGAAATATGTGAATTCCGGTGCACGAGACTAGAACAGTGTACTATGTTGTAACACTCGATAAAAAGTCGCCTTCGAACCCTTTGGAACATTGACTTCAAATTTAACATCGCATCGGCGCTGATATATGGATGATATCAATCACAGTAAACTACGGTTATAACGAACTAGAACTAAATTTTAGTTCGTTATAACCGTAGTTCGTTATGGGGACATACAGCCTATATACTGCAAATGGACAGGACCCAACAACAGTTCGTAATATCCGTCAGTTCGGTATAAGCGTGTTCGTTATAAGCGTAGTTTACTGCAGATATAAATTATTGGATCGCGCGCTGAATACCGCGTGGTCAAACTTATGAGTGATCAGGTGAATGTTCATCAATGTTCCAGTTATATTATAACAACACGTACGATGTCGAATCGAAACCACAAACCAGTGGTTGATAGCATGAGTAACCAATCGGTGAGCACAACGCGCAATTATTCAAGTAACACATTGTGAACCCCCCACTTATTATAGCCGGTCCTTACCAGGATAAAATAAATATGCAGAGTTGCGCTCCTAAGAAAGGTCAAGATATACGTTCGCCGACATTCGCCGAGTGTATGGTCCTGAAATACCAATCAAATCAGCGTACTCACCCAAACATCCTTTAATCCGCAGAAGCAACCAACCAAGTTAATCACTCACTCACTACAACGCCCAAAGAGTTTTGTGTGTGACAGAAAGCAATTTTCCAAACGACGTTTTCCATGTCAACGATCAGAGGAAAGGTTAGGTACCTTAATATGTAATGCATTCCTTGTTGTTCTGGGTACTGGAGTAGTCTCCCTCACTCATTCACTAACTCGCTCACTCAATCACTTCCGCACTCACTCACTTCCAAATGGCCACCTTAACACGTACCATCGTGAGTGGGAAGACAATCACTGTTTTTAACCAGTATTTCAATCACATGACTGCCTGTCAGCTCGTCAGACACGATAGACGCCAGCCAATCTGGGATTCGAACTCACGACCCAGGCAGCAAACAACCCCTATGCCTGAAATCACACTGGATCGTGGCAGTACATCACAGATAACATCACAGTAAAACACAATACAAACAGATTCCGAAACTGCTAAATGTCCTCAGAAAATTCCCCTCTTAATACCAGGTAATTCTATGGTTAGTCAAGATAACATAGTCCAGTGACAACACCCGCCAACGGAAGTCTCGGAGTCATTATTTCTATCAAAGTAACTACGGGTGCGCAAGTGCAGTTAAATACGCACTAGACACAATAACGACTTGTGTATACAGAACAGAAACATGGCCGACGTCAGTTTCAATGCTAATCAGCTCCAAAATATAAGCCGTTGATAAAGTATTATGAGATTGAATTGTCGTGTAGGTAAGGAAACGGGGGATGGGCCGCCATCATACAGCCTCGCATCGTTACCTCCTTTGTATAACGCCATTCCACCTCACTGCCACCAGACAGGGAGGGATAAACCAGGTGAGACACAGCACTGGGAACTACAGAAAACCTAACACCTCTCTTTCTTGTTAAAAAGTGCATTAAAAGGTAGTGTTTGGGATGCAACACGTTAGTCAAAATCTTGAGACAGCAGATTATTCCTTCAAAAGTTTAAAGTGTCCAATGAAAGTTTCCAAGGTGTGCATTATTATTTTGTTTATAAGTGAGAGGATTATGGACACATTGTTTGGAATAGTTTCAGATCTTAACAGTTTCTAACTTTAAAGACCCCAACCAAGAACGGAAAAAGAAAACTCCCTAATTTGGGTGGTCTGAAGATCATGCATGAGAGTGACGGGAGAGAGATAAAGGAGGCGGAGCTTCAGATTTGTTTGGGAATTTTAACCAATCAATCGAAGGCCGTGTCCGAGACACCTGTCTCTGATTGGAGCAGCGTGGTATGCTCCTCCTTTCACGGTAAACAAACATACCGTATTTAGTTCAGTAGCGGCGAAACGGAAAGCACACTGTGTTTTTATGCTATATCCTTCCGTGTCCAAACCTGAGCTGAAAACTAATACAAATATTCTTGATGCAACGCCCCGTACTTTATTTGATGAGGAAAAGAACCTCGCTAAATTCTCAGTGGTTAATGTAATGTAGCTATGCACAAACAGGGCCCAAGTTCTAAGCGTACCTGACCGCACCCTGGATGGGCTATTTGCAGTGTCCTGCTCCATGACATCAGCACTGGAATGAAGCAAGTCGTGAGAAAAAGGATGCCCCTCCCCGCCCCGCCCCCAATGGCGTCCTAATCTCTCCCCCAATATACTTTTCCGGTGAACTGGGTTACAGAGATATCGAGTTGCGTGGGACGTGACAACGGCTTCGTCTGGCACGTACTCTCCATTGTATAAAAGACGTACAGACATGATTGTCGATCAGCTCACCGGGAGGTTGAAAATTACACATTATCCTCGCAGATAAATCTTCACAACATGGCAGCTCCGAACATGACACGTTTGCATAAACCGTTCGCCGCCATCTTGTGAGAGTCGCGAGCAGACGACAATACAATGCCTTGGCAACCTCCTCAATATCAAAGGCAGCCCTATTAAAGTGTCTTTCACGCAGCTGTATTACCCACCTTAAGAAATCAGGGAAGTGTGAAGAGATTGTGTAGCCTAGGAAGTCTGTTGGGGGTCGTTAATTGTGTTTGATATGGGTGCAGCCCTTGATAGGACCCGTATTGAAAGTGTTTCTATTTTACCTCAGATCGAAATCAATGGGATTATGAACATAACAAGGAAATATATTGAAATACAACTGCTTCACAGTATCATGATTATTTGTCACTGGATTATCTACTTTCTTGGACACAAAGTGACAGATGTAAGAAATCATCAGAAATCAGGCGACATTTCCGGTCAGTAGCAAGCAACTCCTTATCGTCTGTGTTCACAACGTCGACAGTTGCGTCGAGGGGTGTTCAGCGCCAAATAGTGCAAGTACAGTAAACTACGGTTATAACGAACTCAAAGGGACCACTAATTTTAGTTCGTTATACCCGTAGTTCGTTATAAGCATATATACAGCATAACGACAGCAAATAGTCGGGACAAAAAAGTAGGTACGTTATATCCGTCAGTTCGTTATAAGCGTGTTCGTTATAAACGTAGTTTACTGTATGTCTTAAACACCTGTCGTCAAAGTAGTTCGGAGACCTACAAGACCAAAGCGGCTCTAGTTTTAACACCTCTGGTGAAGCTATTCCAGAGATCTACATGACCAACATGCCCCAAACACCTGTCGTCAAGTTAGTCAATAGACATAAACGTCCACTTGTCCCTAACACCAGCCGTCAAGCTAATCCAGAGTCCCATAAAACAACCACGCCTTGATACCTGCTGTTAAATTAATGAAGAGACCAATGAGACCACCATGTCCCTCACACCTGTCGTCAAGCTAGTCAATAGGCATAC